TATGCCCTGTTTGAAAGGCAATCCCTCTGCTTTCAGGAACAATGGGCGCCGGCAGCCTTTTAACACAATTTGGTGGCAGTTTTTTGCCCATCTATGAATTCACTAAGAGCCTTTTCATAGACAGAGAGGTTTTACAGCCTATTATAGGGTCGGGGGCTTTGCACTGGGAGCAGTTCTTTCTTTCTTTTTTAATTGTCCCGCTCAACAGAGCCGTCAGATTCGGGTTAATTACCCATCAAAATAAAAGACATCTGCTGGCGACGAGTGCGGGGATAAATAATTCATGAAGCCGAAAAGTGATCGTAAATTTTTTGCTCTTCAAAGCTCTTGTCTGCCGCTGCCGAGAGCACCGAAAGAAATATGAGACGAAATTAAATTATGCGTATGTTAGCGGGGCTTGAATTTTGAGACGTTTGCATAAGAAGCGAGATTATGATGACCTTGTGTGTTTTTGCTGTGAGGGAGTTGAGGTATGTGAAATTTTCCAGGTCAGTTTGAACGTTTGTCTTGAATATAAACTAAAATAAATTAATCACATTAGATTAAAGACTTTTAGCAACAAAATTTAAATTAATTTTTAAATCAATTATAATTTCTTGATTTCAATACAAATTAATCGGTGTTAATGATTTAAAAATTTACCAAAATAAATTTTAATAATTTGTTCTACAAAAAAGTTTTATATTGATAATTTCTAAATCTCTATATTCAATTTGTTACATTAAGAAAAAAACTAATTTTAAAAAGAATGTCTCTTCATAGTTCCTCAGGCCTAGAAATTTAGGACCTTACTAATTATTATGAATTAGTTCAGGAATTTAAATTTACTCTACTTATATGCAGACAAAATAAGTGTATTATTCCCCCTCACATTACGTGTTGTTGACAATCTTGAGCGCCCACTTAATGCAAATCAGGCGAGCCGTGTCGGATCACATCTTGTAATTTGACATGTTTTTTCTCTTGTTTTCTTTCACACCCCTTTAAGTAATATTTCACAGTATGCAAATTTTGCCGACAGAGAAAACACCTCAAGGAATAAATACAAATTGCAGAGGGCTCGCCTGCCGGAATCTAATTAATATTGCATCCCAAGAGCACCGGAATGGAAGAAGAATTGAACAGGCTCGACACGCTTGCGGACGTGAAGGCAAAGACAACACGCTGTATTTGCACTCCTGAAGATAATCATCGCGACAGGTGCTTAGATTGGGATCATCTCGGCTCTAATTTAGGAATATTTCACATCTGCACACTGCAGACTCCGGCATGAGGACGATTGGATCGGTGAAGGAACCAAAGGGCTTATTCGCGGTTTTAATTCGCGCGGTGTTTTTTGGTTGAGACGGTTCTTATGAATTATAACTGGTAGTGTATAATTAACGTTGATCAATAGGGCGTGTTTGGAATCCAAAAATGTTTTATATACAAACTAACTGCAAAATATAAAAAATCCAATTGGAGATGGAGAGATGAAATTATGATATATTAATTTTTAAATTGAACGTTATTGGAATGGAGTGTAATAAAAATTTAAAAAAAAAAATGACTAGAAATTTCCAAAATTAAAAAAGGAAATAAAAAAAAACTAAAAGAATCCCAAAATCTGTGCGCCTGGATTAATTAAATTTATACTTTATAGTCACACGGCCGAAAATAATGCGCACCAAGGAATTTTAATTAACACGTTTAGTTCATTAACAAAAATCAAGGACCAAGGGTGCTATAAATCCTAAGTTGTTTCTTAACCAGTTTGAGATGTAAAATCTCACACAACACGCGCGTAGTTCGTCTGCAACTCCCACAAACAGAGTAATTGAAATTCTTTGCAAATTTATCCGCATAAGCAGGGTTCTGCAGGGTCAATTGAAGCTGCATCGATTTAGTATTGAGGGCGTTTCGTTGTCAAGAACTACGCAATAAATTAGGGCCAAATGATGGACGGATCTCAAAAGTCAAGCAGACGTCAAATATGGAAATTGACGCGTGATGAGAGAGAAAAGCAGAGAGATTTATTTGTCTTGCCAAATATTTTTGGCCTTTCTATTTTTCTATGATTAAAGATAATCGCTCCTTTTATAATTTATTTATATGCCTCAAGAGATGAATTCCTGCAAAGGGAATTAAGGCTGAACAATAATTTTCATTTATGATAAGTGGGAATTAAATTGCGAATTTTCTTTTGTTCTCGCATCGCAGCTTAATAATCGCAAGCAGTCGCAAGTACTTTGGTACTTGTGGTGGGAAACAATGTGTTCTCAAAGAGCAATAGTTATAACGAATGCACGCGGCCATAAATCTGTCTAGTGAAAAAGCGTGCGATCTTTTTCCACGAGTCGTTCAACTATTGGTTCAGATCAAAGTTTAAAAATTATAATTTCAGATTTGTTCCAAAAAATCAAACAGTAAATTTTTTGGTCCATTAAAAAAAAATCACGGAAACTTTTTTTAAATTATAATAATTTCCCAGTTAATTTTGTCAAGAAATTTATTGGACATATAAATATTTCCAATTTTTATGCGAAAAAACATTATTTTTTTGCTCTTTTATGTGAAAAGTAAGGAGTTGGTTCAGAGCAAAACGTGTCTTTTTTATCGCAATTGAGAGCAAGTTTTCTGCTTCGCCCACAAAGCATTGGACTCGAATTCGAAGCAGACGGGATGCCACTCAGTCTGCCCGATCGAATCACCCTTGCAAAACCCACTCTACAGCACATGCAAAGCTTCGACGACCGCAGCCGATTCTCGATTCAGCAGTCGTTCGAAACACGCAGACAAAAATAACCGTCAGTGTATGCCATAAAATTGTTGCAGCAACATTTAAATAGCGTTTGCCTGTGCAAATAATAAATGCTAGAGCACAAACTCAATGTCCAATCATTGGCTACTTAAATGGCAATTGAGTGCAGCGAGCAGGGATTACGAAACCAGGGCATACGACAAGTAGTGCACCTTCCTGCATAGCAAACAAATTAATTGATTTGCAATCACTGCGAATTCAGATAAATTTTGAAATGAATTTTTTCCAAAATCCAAAGTAGATGATAGAAAAATAGAGAGATTCAAAACTTTGCTGCAGGTCAAATGACAAAAGCAAAATTACAAATTCGAGCATATTTTGTCGCCGATGAGTATATTAATTGGAACTTGATAGGATTTGTGAAAGTCTTTAATCAATTAAATTAACGCTAAAGCAATGTCGCAATGTGCTCTTAATTGTTCAACGCTGTAAACAGTTAAGCCAGGACTTATATTTTCGAAACGCATCAAATGTTTTCACAATAAACTTCCAGTGAGGTCAAATCCTCCGTGACATGGGTTGGCTTTTAAATAATCTCATTAATTTAATACCTAAATCGCTCAGGAATTTATCAAATTCACCTGCCGCTGCCTTAGAGCATCGAATTTAGAATGTTTAATATAAATATTTTACAATATTGTGAAAAACTGGGCTTTGCTTGCTTTTTTCTTATCTCGGCAGGAAGCTGTTTTAAAATTTTGTTTGATTTGGGAATGCCTAAGCCAGAGTTTTAGCGACAAGATTATTTAGAGGTGTAAAAAGCGTCTTGATAAAAACCATAAAATTTTTTACAACTGTAGATAAACCGCAATAAAATTGCCAAAGTTTGAGCACTTGCAAAAATCACGTGAATTGACTGTAAAACTTTCGCGCCACACACTGGAGATTAATTTTCTTGTTGTTTTTACGTTGCAAAATCATGGGACGTCGTGCGGTCATAAATCTCTCCAAATTTTCAATTAAGCAGGTCTCAAATAGCTTAATTACGTTCTGTAGCCAAGAGCAAAACTCTATAATATAGTCTAGCCTGTTGGTAAATCGTCTTCTCTCTATAATTGCAACAGAGAAAAATCACGGAAAGTTGTTGTTCCCTGTTAATCTCTCGCCTGACGACATTATAATTGCGAACGGGAGCAAAAATTACTTAGGTGACTCTCACATTTCACCGTTCTCCAAGATTTATATATCTTTTCGTGTCAGCAAATATGTTCAATGGCTTCGCAGTCTGTCAGAATCAATGCTTTGAGAATCAGAACCGAGGTGAGAAAAGTAAGAAGTCGCAGAAAACTCCATAGGCAAATAGAACCTACAACGACACGCGCCGCTTTTGTGTGAGAAAGTGTAAATCAAATAAAGGCAAACAAGTCTTTGCAAATTGATTTCTACTCATAGTAAACTTCACTCGCTTATGAACTTGAAGCGCGTTTATTGTGTCCTTTATTATTTTATTTTTAATGAAAGATATTTATTATTATTTCATTACAAGTCTAGCCCAATAAATTGAAAAAATTTCAAAACATCCTAGTTTAAAAAATTAACACGCAGGTGACAATCATAAGACTTGTTATCAAATTTAGTTTTTGCTATTTTTTCAAAACATCCTTTGGGTTTGGCGAAAAAATATGAACAATTTCTTTTTAAACCGAACGCACGATAATTCCGTTGGTTGAATACGCTCGTATGTTTGTGATAAGATAGTAAAAAACATTTTCTAACCACAAAATTGTCGAGAACGCTTCCTTTTTCTTGAAGTTGAAGGGCAAAATGACAATTCCAAAAGAAAGTTGATAGTATTAAAAGTTTACACAGTCTGCAGTTCTTTTTATAAAACATTTTCATAAATTACACAAGTTATTAAAACTGAATGTCGCCTACAATTAATAAAATTATAATATACAAAATAAATCAATTAGAATATCATAAAATTAGTAGCATTTTTGAATTTTAACGGGAATTGTCAATTTTTAGGAAAATCATGGACAATTTAGCAAAGAAAAATACTTGTTCAATATAAATATGATGATTTTAATAAATTTTGTTAAAAGAAATTTACCTCGTTATGTTCTACTTAAAATGATGTAAAATATATTAAATTTTCTGTGATTCCATTATTTTGACTTTCCAAACTCAATATATAATTGCAAATTTTAAACACATTTATAAGGTTTCATAAATTTTACGTTAAAATACTTTTACTCACCAGAGGTAACGCAAACGACGTCGATGATCACCTTAGGTGAGAGCTTCATGATGGCCCTGGCGAAGAGCGACTTCTCTTTGGGGTGATCCTGAGTGGCATCGGGAATGGTGACGACCGAGCTGGAGAACGAGCCACACTCGCACTGCCAGCCTTCCTGCAAAACAATGCGCACACCTCACTGCCAAGTCCAACTCTCTCATTCAAAACGCCGCGGCGGCGAGTCGAGGAGAAAAACTAAAGTGGGGAACGCCGCGGCCGAGTGCTCTCTCGGCGCATCAACAACACCGCCCTCCCTTATATGAAGATACGCCGGGGATGATGTTAAAGCGATCAGAAGGGATGAAGAGCAAAAAATTGTTTTCTTCTGGGGAAAATATTAAAATTTTGAAATTACTGTAAAATTTGTCGCTTAATTCTTTAAATTATAAATTGTAATAAAGAGGAAATTCAAAAAGCCATATTTTTTTCCTGCAAAAAAAAACGTTAACTAAATTTAAATTTCACCAAAAAAAGATTGCTGAGATTCAAAAATTAAAATATTTTGCGTAAAAATATATTTTAATGATAAAATAATTTAAGTCTTGTTCTGGTAACATAATTTAATATATAATTATAGGCACGACCACCCAAATTTTCTTGGTTTATTGATTTTTTCACCACAGATCTTACTGAATACGATTTGATCATTTTCATTTTAGCAAAGAAATTGACACTCAAGGAGAGGATAATGGAAGTGAAAAAATGGGCTTTGTCCTCGTTGAAAAAACCGTTTTTTATTCTCAAATCAAAATTGCTCTTCCAGTTTCGGTCACGGTCTGCAAACTTATTTCATTAGAGGGAAAAATGCAAAAATTCTGCAAAACAAAATTTATTGTTTTATAACAAAAACTTTTTTTGCAGCGCCTTTTTGTTTTTGAATAAAAAGCAATTTTCATTGAGAAATAAGCCCGTTTTCTTCACTTCCCCTTCGACCCCTTCCTCGATCATTTTTTATACACATGAGAAATTAGACATTATTATTACCGTTGATTTTCAGAGTGGTTGAGCCTTTGCAATTCTAAAGAGCCCTCAGAGAGAGCCAATATGTAACAATTTGTGAACGAGCTCTTAATGCTGATGCGGAAGGGCGACGAATGTGGAAATAGTTCAGCTGATTGAAAACTAGAGTGTCACATATAGACGCGGAGAGCAAATCACGGTAGTAAAGTGAGGGTGACATTGAACTTCAACTTGGTGTGCTGCAACATCATTATGACATCAAACCACGCTCCCGCGCTGCTGATGAATGATGAGCGATTCACGTTTCAAAAAGGGAGCGCAGAAAGAAAATTCACCGCGCACGCAACGAGAGAAGATGCGAAAGCGTATCCCTAACTAACTAACTAAGATTTACGCGCACGCAACATCCGAATGCACTTTTCATAAATATCAAGTATCGCGTCGCGACACAGTGTACGTCGAGACACTTAAAAATCACGTCTGTGAACCAGATGTTCCATTCGCGATCCCATCTCTTGACAATAAAAACGGTTGTGCCCATTTGTGAAGGTTGTAAGAATAAAAGTATTTATTTAAAAGCTGCATTATTTTTGTCACATCAAAGGACCCTCTATCAGAGCCATAAAATCGGAGGGGGCTTTTTATTCTTTCGACTTGGAGCAAAAAATTATTGATGCCCTTTAGAGTTTGTCTTATTTATGTAAGGAAAACGCGGTCCTTTGACCTCTGGACAAAACCAGAATTTTTTCACATTGAGCTATTATTCCATTTTATTGCAGACTAATATAATAATGTTACTTTTCGAAAAGGAAGCTGGAGCAAAAGCAGTAAAAAATTACAAAAGTTGCCGCTCGAGAGATTTATGAGCAACTCTTCACCTATAAAAAAATTCTGAAAATATTTAAAAGTCCATTAACGCGTTAGGTTACTTTAAGATAAATTCTTAATGGATCAAGTTAAATTATCTTGTTTTAGGCGAAGATCCGCTATGATGTCACTCTCAGTCACACCAGACGACACGTTTTAATATATTCACGGCCTCCGCCTAGGCACCGTTAAAATTAGTGCGAAATTGGAATAGTTTTTAAAAGGGCGAGACTGCAGAAATTTAGTCACTTGAAAGTTTGCTACAATTGACCTCCAAGGTGACCCTGCAGTGAAGACGAAGGCACACTTTTATTGTACTAATAAGGCACACGCTTGATTTTACTCTTTGTTTAAAACTATTTGGAATTTGCATCGTCAACACTTCCACTCAGCAAAGGTGACACATTCGCAAAGCAATTCTTTTGTTTTCTAAATAATCAAGCCAGCAGGTAAATCAGCCATGATCGGAGATACCAGTATTCTTATTATTTAATGTTAACTGCAATTATTTTAGTCACTGGTGACGGTGAATCATTTTAAAAGGTTGACGAAGACCCTTGTTTGCATTCTTTGCTTAACTGTCACTTTCGATTGAGGAGAAACTTGACGCAATTTGAACACCATTTCTCAACGGAAGCCTTGCATTTACGCCACAAGGATCTTCGGCCAATATTGACTTGTTAGCTTAAACAAGTGTGTAAATTGTAAAAGAAAGGATAACAAAGGTACTGACCTTGACGCACAAATTGCATATTATCTGGATTTACAATCTTTTATGGTTATTTATTCCATTTATTCATTAATTGTAAGAAAAATACCAATTAAGGCTTAAAAATTGTACGCTTATATACTTGGAAAATATTTTTCTGCTTTCTCATTTCAATGTTAACTTAAAAATCATGCGTAAGGAAGCGACAAAAAGCACAAGAAAAATGTTATCATGCCAAGCGTCTAACCTTGGTAGGAAGTGGGAACAAAATTCAATAATAAAAGGGAGAAAAAATAGTTATTTAGAACTTGCCTTGTCATAACTCTTAAGTTGGCCCGGGTCGAGGGAAATAGAAAAGACCGAGGGCTGAGAGGGTTCTCGACCATTGCGGCTCCTCTCGTTTGGTGGATTTGGAAAATTATTGGTCTTTGTCTTCATCATGATGAAGGCCGTTCCGCCGCTTCCGGGATCCTGAGATCGACTGAGACTAATTTGAGGAAAGACGCCGCTTTTTGCTTGATGCGAATCCTACGCTGCGAGCTGTGCGAATGCGATGGGAATTTGAAGGCGCGCAGAGAGTGAGTGAGTCAGGTCGATTGGCTGCTGATGCTTTTCCCGCTCCGCATCCTGCGTTGTTGTTGCCCTGCACTGAATACTGATTGTGACGTGCAACTAGCGTGAATGTGAATAGTGATGACCCCACCACCTCTGTGCTGCACCTAGAGCACACTTAATGTTGCTGTCAACGTTTGTGCGCTCTCTCTGCTATTAATAACTAGTCTCATTTCAATTTCCTACTTTTTCCTGCACTAACGCAGATTGAACTGTTTTTATTGAAAATTGCGCTAATTATTTTTGATTTAATTTTTTTACCACAAATAATTTTTCATAGCCACCAACTACATCTATTTAAATAAAAAAAAAATTCAATTTTTAAATATAAAGCCAATAAAGGATACATTTTTTAATAAGAAAATTATGTTAATTCAAATTTTTGCTTGTTTTAATTGATAATGGAACTTATATTTACAAAACATCTTCATTTCCTTTGCATACCCCTTTTTACTTTACACGTGTTTTTTTTTATAAAATTAAAATCCATTTTTTATGTGCTTAAAAATCGGAATTAATTTTACAAGAAACGCTAAAGAGGTCTGTCTACTTAGCAGCTTGAGGAGGTGGCAGGGTCTTTGGGGGCCAGTGCTTCACGATGAACGGATGTACCTTCACCTCTTTCAAGGATAGACGGTTCGCAGGTTTCACTTGCAGCAACTGTTGATTTTTAAGAGTTTAAAAAATATTGGAATAAATAATGAAAATTTTTAAGAAAAATGACACTTTATATTTAATTATTAAAACTAAATCTGCAGTACTTCAAAAGGGTGTGGTAAAGGAATTTTAGATGACATGTGATTTTACAATAAGACAAATAGTACACTCGGCACCTATTTAAAATTCCTTTTCCACAACTTTGTGATATAACGCAAATTCAATTTGAGTTTCATGTGTCATTTCTTTCTTGCACTTTCATTTATACTTCTAAAATGGAACAAATTTGTGTTACAAAAATTAAGAATAAGGAAATAAAAACCTTGGTAATAAGATCACGGGCCAGTGTACCAACGTAAGGTGGAAAATCGACAAATCCTTTGGTGATCCGTTCATATGTCTCGTGGCTGGTCTTGCTCTCGAAGGGCGGTTTTCCGACGAGCAACTCATAGCAAAGGATTCCCACGCACCAGTTGTCCACTAAGTGAGAGTGCTCAACATTCTTCACCATTTCCGGTGCCAAATAATCCAAGGTGCCGCACATAGTCTTCCTCCTGTTTTTGAAGTAAAATTCAAATTTAATGGATAACATTTAAAAATTATTGACGAGATGCTCATAATTAAGTGAACTGGCTACACATAATTTTACAAGCTAAACCAAGGTATTCAGCTACTTTTTGAAGCTCTTTAAATCCATATTGTTGTAACCTTTGTAATATGTTACATTTCTTTTATAAATTTTGGAGAAAACATGTAGATCATTGCTTCTTACTTATTAGTATGAGAGGAGTCATGCACAGACCAGCCAAAGTCTGCAATTTTAATATTTCCTCTAGCTGATATGAGAATATTTTCAGGCTTAATGTCTCTGTGGATGACCTGGCAGTCATGGCAAGCCTGGAGAGCGCTGGCAACTTGATAAATGTACTTGGCACACCTAGAGATAAAAAGAAGCGTGATTTTTACAAATGCAAGAATCAAAGTTATAAATTATTAACATACTTAGCCTCTTCAAACCTGCCGTGCTTCTGAGCATTGAGTTCTCGAAAAAGCTCCCCCCTGGCCGCGTATTCCAACACGAGGAAAACTCTCTTGTCATCGACAAAGTATGTTAACATTTGCAGAACATTTTCATGCCTGCAATAAATTTTGTGCTTTAGAAATTACATATATTATGCATAAAATATTTAGTACTTCAAATGGGACTGAATTTCAATTTCTCGGATCAGTTGCTGTTCCATTTTGTGCTTGACAAGTTCCTTTTTAAAAATCATCTTCAACGCGACTGGATACTTGGTTGTCTTTTCGCGTGCCAGATAAACTCGGCCAAATTTGCCTCGCCCCAAAGGACGGCCGATTTCAAAATCTGCCAGACTCCATGAATCCCTGAAGAAAGCAAAAAACAAATAGAAAACTTTCATCGTTGTTAATTAATAGATATACAATTTCTCGGCTTTTCGCTTCTTGATTGTTTCCAGCATTCTTTTTTCCATCAAAATGGTTTCTTGCTGGACGGTCGAGGTTGTTGTCGGAGGGTTCATTTTAGACATCGTTGCAGTCTGAAAAGTGTTGGACATTATCAGTATGTGTTGATTTGCGTTTATGTACTTGAATTTTCAAATATTTTGTGTGCAGAAACAGCATAAAAGAGCCGATTTCATCGTGCTCAAAGTCACAGCGCACAACAATAAAAAACAAAACTTGTTGAAAAAAATGAGAAAAGTGAAATAGAAAGAGTGATTTTTTTTCCAACCTAGTTCCCAGTGGCAAGTAAGAACTTCGTTCCTGAGAATAATTCTGCTTGAAAAGACACGATTATGCCTTGATTTTCAAATTATTAAACAAAAATTTGCCGGCGAACAACGCGTTGCGACGGTTTGAAAATTGAAAACACCTGTCATGAAAATGAAGAGGGAAAAGTTAGCCAATCAGACAGTAACGTTGACCACGTGACTGAAAGCGGACCAACCAGCGCTGAATATTAAACCATGTGAATGCTTCCACTTGGTTTCCACGTAGTACACTTGCATGCAACTTTGAAACGGTTTTTTCTTCTTACTACAACCGGTTAAACAATACATATTTTAATTATATGTTTTATAAGCTGAAGTTAATTGATTTTAATTAAAAAATGCATCATACCAGAGCTAATAAAACATAATTTTCTATGCTTAATTCAAGTTTTATTATATTTTAGTTGACAATAGTATATTTTTCTTCAGTTTACAACCTATAAAATAACCGGTTGTGCGTCACGTTTTCTGTTTGTTTTTTAACATAATTGCATACGTTGGAGTCAACTTCAGAAATTTCACAACTCAGCTGCCGACGGCACGCCCCCTTATCACGTCAGTTGTTCAGTCGCATTCCCTGTGTTTAGTGAGTTTCTACAAACCTCGTGCTCTCTCAATTCAATTCGGTTTATTTCTCTATCTCCCTGTTATTGTACTGTTAAGGCCTCTCGCGCTGTCCTGCACAAGTTTTGCATTAGAATATCCAGGAATTTGAGGTGGTTTTCTTGTGCGTTACCAAGGAATTGTCTCGGTTGATGAACTATTTCGCGTAAACAACTGGACGCTCCCTCACATCAAACAGGCAACTTTTGATCTCCATCCTGGTGCTCAAATGGAGCTTTTGGTGACTTGGCGAAGTTCGTCACCGTGAGAAGCTCTTTTTATCTAAGAACGTCACTCTAATTATTTTGGTAAGTTCAAATTAATTAATTTTTATATGAAAAATCAACGCCAATATGTTATGTTTTCTACAACCGAGAAATTGACCTTATAATTATGATGCTTTTTCTATTTTGAAATTAATTAGTTTCACTGAAAAAAAACATCAATCAATCACCATCAATTTTAGTATGTAATTTTCAAGATAATGAAAATTCCAAAAATCATGATTTATTTTGTCAGATAATTTAAATTATAGCCTTGAAAATTTAATATTAAAATTACATTTTAAATTTGAAAAAAAAATATGAAAATAAAAATACAATCGCAAGATTAATTTTATCGGTTTAAATTCAACCAAATATTTAAAGTCAGTGGGCACGGCTCTTTTTGTTTCTGGTGGTGATTTTGCCTTTGTTTTCGTCTGCTGCTAAAGGCACTTTATCAATATTTGTCGTCGTCATCCTATTTGTGTGCGTTAAAGAAAGCGTCGCCGGCCAGGCCAGCCAGTCAGTTCATTAGTCAGTCGATTGTTGCTATCAGTGCAGTCGAGTCGCCGCCTCGAGTGCATTCCTAAACGAGAACCTTTAGCCCTGGAATCCGGACCCGTTCCACACAGTCAGTGAGTTAAATAGTGTGTGCGATGAGCAACTGAAATTTCCATTCGTGCGCCCGCATCTTCTCAATCTCTGGTCCCATAATAAGCTGGAGTCTTGAATAGGACTTGGTTTTTTAATTTAACGGCTGGAAATTTTGTTCCTTTGAAGGTAAATCACAATTTTAATTTTGAATCACGATCATCAGGTTTTGCATCGGTTTTGCATTCATATTTTTTAAATTTTGGCCGCCTTTTATTAAATTACAACAATTATGTTATATAAAATCTTTAAACAAAATTACACAATGTATAATTACGTCATTGTCATTTATGAAGATAAAATATTGAAAGTTAATTAAATATTTTGAATTTAATTATGAAATTATTCAAATTTTTATCAAAAACTTTAATCATATGCTTTTGGCATAATTTTGTTTTAAAACTGCACAATCGAAAACTTATAGAGGTTTTTTCGTGGTTTTACTAAGATTCTGCGAGACAAACTTGGCTTTCAAGATTGGAATACGTACCAAATTTTTAAATTTTAATTGACAAATTAATTTTTAAATAATAAGTTCACATATTTTTGTGTCACAAATAATCAATAATTCAGTTAAAAAATTAATTTTTCTATTAAAGTAAAAATTTTGGCATTTATTCCATTCTTTTATGTTTTTCACGCACAGTTTCAGTAAAATAACGATAAAAAATCCCCTCTTTAAAATTAAACTTACAACGCGAACAAAGACAAAAACACACTAACAATTTTTTGAAGAATTAGTTTGAAATTACTATGATTTCTTTTTTAAGGACATTTTGAAAAGGAATTTGGGGGAAAATGCACAAAGTTGCATTGTAAACTTATGGCTTACGTTTCCTCAAGCATGCGATACTTGCACTTTGGCTCTCCGCTTTCATCCTCACAATCAGTCCAAAGTTGAAGATAACATGCAATGCTGTCTGTGCAACTCAACAAACACTCACACTTAAAAAAAAAATAGTCTCAAATCGCAGCATCATGTCATCGGTTCAATGAACCTCTGCAATAATTTCTTTATAAAATCCAGCGAATAAAGAAGATTGTGCCATAAATTTCATTAGGGAAAAACTGCACATGAAGATTGCGCGAAAAGCATTAAAGATGCGCAGAGGCGTTGCTTTACATGTCAGGGATTTCCAACTGGGCCGTAATTTGCAGAGGCGTTTCTCCAACATGACTCACCTGAAGCTATTTTCGCGGCCAGTAATTTCACTTACAATTTTCAAGTTTTTCAATGTAATTTAGCTCTCAAAATTATTTCAACCGTCCAATTTTTTAATTATCTTATGGTACGGGAAACTTCTGCAGCTACTTAAATTTCCAATTATTGCCTTACAGTGAGAAGTTTTTTTAAAAATTAGTTTACAGTAGATTAAACTACACTATTTTGAGGATGATCTTGGACAAATATAAAAATTTGATAACTTCTTTATTGCTGCGTAGTGGAGATAAATCTTTTTGCATTATTTATTTTATTTTACAAGAAATAAGGAAAAAAAATTATACCCACTCTTTTCTCCAAAATAAATAAGGCCCTTTTAATTTATTTTCTTTAATTAAGAAAAAAAAATGCTAAGTAATTACTACAAATTAGTATAAAATTGATGTCAGAATAGCTTTTATTGAAACTAAAAGTCAAATGCGTTTATCGGCGTTCATCTCAAATTAAAAGCAGAGCGCATAATTAAAAATGGCTTTAATGATTCTGACTTTTCTCTGATGCAAATGAATGTTGGCTGAAACTCACCTGGCCAGCTGGGCGGGATTTCCAGCTTTAATGAATCGATTTGCCATGTGACCTGAGGTTACATTCACAGCAGTATAATAATAAAAGTGGGCAAACGGGGATTTCCCATGGACCAGGCCAGCCAGGCTGGAGCCGCAGTTTCCATTTTGGGCCAAGTTGGTGCTCAGGTCATGCAAGAGCACCAATCAAAGCTTTCTTTGAGCTCGAAATTCTGTATGCATAGAGATGAGGAGCTTTTTCTCAATCTGGATTGAGTCGGTTTGGTTGAAAATTAATGTTTCCACTCAAGGTAAAAAGCTGCTTTATAACGGAGGCACCTCTCGCGTGGAGTCCCTTTCGTTATTTTATTCAAGCCGATATAGTAAAATCTTTTTTATCATAGGCATGCAAGGTGATAATTAACAAGGAAGTGCATTCTTCTGTTTAAATTAAACCAAGTTCAAGGGTAATTATTTTTATAGGCTTTTAATTTGAAGAAAAAAGTTTGAAATTATTTCAAGAAAATTGTAATCAATAATCTTGCTTTAACCTAGGAGGAAATCAACCTGCCAAATATAAATTAATGAAGGGCTAAATTAAATGAAAAGAAAGAAAATACAATTTAGAAAGTTTTGCAACCCTGATTGAAGCAAGAATTAATTTTGGAAACTTATTAAATCCCTAAATTAACTAATTAAAATGTTTCTCAAAACAATTCAATAAAAAATCTTTTTCCCAAGAAATCCCGCAGTCAGAATAAATCAGACCAGGCTGTGTCATTTTACCAATTAAAATTAAAAGTAAAATAATATTTTTAATACATAATGATTATAAACCTCTGTTTAAATGTATATTGACGTCATTGTGGATTGTTCAAAGTCACCTCGTTGATTTATGTGTAAATGCCATCATAATTAGTAATAATCGATAATGGGTTTTAATTACTTTTTAATTGCAAAGTAATTTATAAATGAAGCAGGATAAAAATAAATTTGTAATCTATTTATATTAATTATGAAGATAAAAGGAACTTGTAAAATGACCACTAATTGTAAGTCACCATTTTAATGGACTAGAGGAGCAACTTTCTTTCCTTCCCGATCTCCCTACTTTTGTTTATCAACAAAGAGTTGCTCCGCCAATCAGCATCCGAGATCATAGGGCAGGTCCTTTCAACAGGTGGTACTCTCGGTACGCACCTTTCATTGATTTCTCACTGTCCTTCGGACGCTGGCAGAGTCGCGGTCGATTCTTTCTCCTTCACTCTCTAATAATAATTGTTGTAAGTATGATTTTTATTTATCTTTTTAAACTTCCGATAGCCTCATTTGGTTGAAAACCAAAATGTCGTTTATCTGGTCGGTGAACTTTGCAGCCGATCTCGGCGCGCGGCCCCGGCTGTCGCATTCAAAATAATCTATTAATTAAGGTCACTCATAAATATCGCACTCGCGCGTCATGCACGGTCGTCAGTTTGAAATTTATTAAGCCTGTCCAGGGCCTGCGTTGGTCGTTTCGGAATAATTAGGCGTCGCCCGAAGCTCTCTTGGAGCCACAATTTGGAGAACACAACAAATACACACACAATCATATTATTCGTCTCGTTTGCGTTTGCACACGGCCGGGTGATTACTTTTGACGTCACCCACCGATCACGTGCTGCCTTCCTGATTATTATGTTGGCCGAGGAAAAAAGAGCGACCATTATTGCATTTATCTCACCCGAAAAACTTTCCTGTGACGGGGGCAAAGATGTTATTTGATTTAAGTCTTTCATTTCATTATTTCGGACAGGATGTGAATTACAATCAGCATGATTGTAATTTTCTCGTACTTTTCCATTACTTTAAGGAACAAGATAATTTAATTTAATTGCAAAAAGCTTTAACTTGCGACCTCGCAAGGCAAATTTTATAGAGGCAGGGAAATGCGTTTTGCTTCTGAAAAAGACATAAATTTAATTTAAAAATCGAAATGTCACGCGAAAACATGTTCTACAAAATTAGTTTCATATTAAATCAAGTTGTCAAGAGTATTTTTTTTTTACACGAAATTCATAATTTAGATTATTCACCATAATTAATTAATTTAATTGTTCTTGTTGCCAAAGGCAAAATAATCCGCTTTTTATTGTTAGTCAAAGATTGAAGAGACAAAAATTCACTGTTAAATAAACGTTTTCATTCCCTTTGAGAATCGAGATTTTCTATTTTCCAACATTTTTATTCTTCAACCTTAACTAACAGATTTTTTTTTGTTAACACGTTAATTTTTTTGTTATCAAATTGTATTTGTGGTGCAGTCAGTACACCTGCACAGCTACGCATCAATTAATTTCAGGTGATAAGACCACAACCAGATTTCATATAATTATCACGTTCCACGAGTGGCCTGATCATGAGCTAATTTACAAACAAAAAAATCTTGAATCACCTGAGTGCAAGTTTTCTCCGAATCTGTGGCGTGATGGCAGAAAATTGCTGGTCGCGCGACCTGCCCGCGGCCACGTTCGCAGCTGCGGCCAGACAGCCTGGTACCATTTAATTGCAGCTTGCTTGCGTAAAATCTCTTTCAGCATTTGGGAGAAACGCTCAGCTCGGGCAAACAAAATTATCATAATTTCTTGCCCCCCGAAGCCCCTCCACTGACCAATTGGTATGCATAATTGCAGAAAATATATATATCGAGCCACTCTTGTGCGTCAGAGACAAATAAATGCTGGTAGCACAAGGTGAGCTACAATCACACGCGCCTTTCTGTCACTCCGAACTTCAAATATGCCAACTTTGGTCATTTTTAGCATAGAATTATTATTTTATTTTTTTGCGAACAGAGGCGACAAGCTGTCTGCAATTGGTGCGGAAATTGCGTGTCAGTTGAAAAGTAGGTCTCCATGTTTTCTCGCGGCGCTTTCAATACGCCTCTAATTACACTTCGGAGTTTACGAGCTTGTTAAATTAGAGGTTTCACTCAAGACATTCAAATATCAAGTAAGGATTTCTCATATTTACAAAAATAAGCATAGGTTGTTGCTTCAGTTACTTGCAGCACTTGTAGTCGAATTAGAGGCAGGTTGCAATAACCATTCTGTAAAGTAAAAGTACTGAAGGAGAAGAGATTTTGGACCAGCAATTAATTTTCCAGATCAGGAAATAATTTCCATATTAATGGTATAATTTTTATATATTTACACAAGCTAAAGAGGATGGGGGATTCAGAGAGGTGTTGAAATGAAACTAAGCCTTCCGTACTTCCTGACGTCTCTCTGAGGTCAGGGGTCACCATATCGCAAAAGACTAGGCATTTTCGGCTTCCTCATGGAATGAGCTTTTCACCGGTGTGCCGTTTGTCGCTTCGAACGAACGGTCGCGTTCTTTTCAATTTTGGAGATACAACCAAGATTTTTTTTTTTTTAAATTTGACTGTTTTCAAACGCAAATTACTCCCAGAATCGTTCATTGACACGCAATGAAATGCACACCGTTGGGAAGTTCGTTTTGTTTTTTTAGATTCAGAATCCTGAAGTTCTCACCGTCCTTTAGAGTTTGCTCGATCTCTTTCTGGCCAACATTCACCCCTCCTCCAGCCCTTTTCGACGAGTAAATTTTCATTGTAGATTTCAATTTAGTTGACTCTGACCATGCATCACGTCAGGCAAGAAAATATAATGGATACAAATTTTGGAACATAATGTTTGAAGAGTTGATAAATGATTTTAATGTCATAATTTTAATTTGCACAGACACCTGAGGTTCTCAATCACAGAGCTCGAGCAACAATCAAAATATCTCTCATTGTTGTGTTGCGCGACTTAGTCGACATGTCACTGTTAATAAGCCGTTTTTTGTGGCTCTTTGTTTGTGGCGGTGGCCAGCCCAGTGGGTTGAGAACGCGAACAGTAGTCCTGGGCGGGCAGTACTGCACTAGTCCGCGAGACTCTACCGAACGGGGTTCAAAACCGGACTGGGTTGGCCTTTTTCACATTCTTTTTTAGGTTCAATTCAATTCTAAATCACGTTTCTTATTATTTCCATAAAAAAATTTAGATATAAAATAAATATACAAAATATTTAGATATAAAATTTTTCGGACTCGATCTTCAAACAATTTTTATCATATATGTTATTTCCAAATGGTTGCAAAAATTTTACCTTGGATGAAATAAAATTGTTGGGAGGGAAACATTAGAAAGCACAAATGCCAAAGCTTTTTTAAAATTGTCATTTGCAACTCGTTTTGTAGTAATTTTGCATAGTTTTGACGTTGTTTAACAATTGCATGCAGTAGACAGTGTTGAAAGAAAGCATGTGTGTTGTGTGTTTCAGCGGACAATCGTCGGCCAAGAGCAGCCCGTCGTGACCCAGAGCGCGTCCGCGGCCGCTACCCTGTCTTCCCTGACCGTCCGTTTGCTCGCGAGAGCGCCGCCCGCCGACCGACAGGAGCGAGGAGGACCCCGATGGTGTTCCTGCGCGAACTGAGCTGCTGGTCTCGTTTTCATCTGAACACCACGGGACAGGAGCGAGACTTGCTTTTGGCCGTGACCAGCAGCAGCCGCGGCGGCCGCAGCAACCAGAGGCGCACGGCCAAAAGGGACGCGGCCGGCGAATAGCGCCATGGAGATCATGCTCGGTGAAATGACCGCTATCTTGGACCACCACCAGCACCACCTCATGATGAAGCCCGAGGGGCCCTCGAGGCCCGCCAAAGCCCCCGCGTGGACCACGCTCAGTCCGACTGGCTCCTCAGGTTCGTCCGACGACGCCGCCGAACTCTTCCCTTGGTCCAGCGAGCTCAGGCAGACCCTCCGCATGCGATTGCAGGCACGAATTTTATGTTATTTTCAAGTAAAATTTTTTATTTTTAAGAATAAATAATTTGATTTCAAATTTAAACAAGAAAGTATTTTGTTGATTAAAAAAATTGTTTCTGTAATTTTTTTTATAAAAATTATTAAACTTATAAACCAATATTGATAGCCATAAATAGGAAATTTATGTGCATTATTTTTAGTAAAATTAATTAAATAATGTGAGAACTGTGAGAAGTTTTTGTGTTAAAATTTTATTTTAATGTAAATATTTTTATTAAAATCGGAAGCAGTTTGGTCTTAAAAGTGCTTGCGTAGGGTCATCACACGCTGAGTGAGGAGAACATCGCTGCAAGGGTCGCCGAGCCAGCAACTCCTGCCTCCAGGAAGCGCAAAATTTGGGACGAGTTGGAGAGTCTCGAGGTCAAATCGCTGCCTGGTGAACTTGCGGCGTCGACCGACCTGCACGACGAGCCGCCGCGCGTGTTCAGCTCCAGTCACGGTGGAACTTTGCACCACCTCGGGGACCTCAGACCCCCAGCCAGCCCCATCAGACGATACACCAAACCCAAAACCCCCGAAGGTAAGGAGTATAGAAATTTGAAATTTGGGCTTGGATGTGCCGCTTTGCTGTAGACAAGAGAGGACAAAGTTTGGTGCATGAGGCTTATCTTTTGTTTGCGTGGTGTCTTGGTGGGTCATTTTTACTGATAAACGGGAACTTTAACACTTTGATTTTGAAAGGATTCAAGAGAGAAGAAAAAGGATTTACGGGATAAATAATCAAATGCGTTGGGCCAGAATAATATTTTACTCAATTTAATACCGACGTAAAAGCTGCCTCTGCCGATCTGTGGCAACCTCAGGGCTACGAAGGCCATTAACAACCTGTCGATGGCGCCTGTAATCTTCTCCAGTGAGGCAAGGAGCTGCTTGACTGGCTGGCTGGCTTAGTGACTAACTGGATATTCTCGCGATGTTGACACATTCGCTGGGCCTATTTTATAACAATATTCATTAGAAAGTGCCTGAAAATATAAGCGGACTCGGCCGAGAATGAGGAAAACTTTGTAGTTTTTAATAAAGCGAAATTGCGGTCTTTGAATTTTAATTTCATAAATTAGAAGTCCAATGCGCGCGTCTTCAGATGTGTTATCTCAGTTCTTCCAATCAGGTCACGTTGTTAGCAGTGCAGATAATTTAGCCAGCTGCACTATCGACTTTAAAAGAAAGATAAACATGAGCTGAACGCATCGTGTTTGTCCAGCTTGATGCTTTACACTCTTTTTTTTTACAAATTACTGACGGCGTGCGGCATGAAATCCGTTTGCATGCCGATTTCTTGCTGCTCTCTCGTCATAAGCCCCCAGTATATTCTTGCAATTTTCATTTGCAATTAAAACTCTACTATTATTTTTTTCAGGAGTGGCGCCTGGGAGGATGACTTCATGGGACATTGACGATAATTTGGCAGCCGATCTTGATGGCAGTCTGTCTGGCCTCGGCGAGGATCTCAGCACTGCTTCATATAATATGAGGTAATTTTTTTATTATAAAGTTAAAATTTCTTTTTACAGTTCATAGCAAAAAAAAAAAAATTAATAAATAAAATTGAACTTTTTTTAAATTGCAATTAAGTCGAGCTTCAAAGCTCAAAATAAAAATAAGATTGATTTTGCCAAATTTTTTGTTACTTCAAATAACTGGGAAGCTATAAAATTGATTATTTTTCTTATTTTACAGTGAGGCCTTGTTGGCTCTCCCATCACTGACAGTTTTCAAACAAGAAGCCAATTCGCCTCCAACGCAGGGGAGTTCCAAGTAATAACAATTCAATAGCCAATGTTTTGACAGTCAAAAATAATGCTTTGTATGTACAGTCGGCAGCAGCAGCACAGGTCCCCGCCTGCAGACATGGACAGAGATTCGCCCACCAGTCTGCACCACCTGCTGCACACTCAAACTCTGACCAACGGTGCTGACGGGGGGTATCACAGCCCTCCTAATGAGAGGCACAGCATGGTTCGAGGAGAAGTGCCTGGACAGCACGGCCATGCGGTAAAATCCAAAAAATTTGTAAACAAAAAATATTTTTTAAATCGTTTCTAGGGTGCCAACTTGAATAACCAATCACAACAAATAGGAGTTGGTTCTGAGCAAGGGCTGGAAAGATTTCAACGCCTCGACAAATTGAATACCACAGTTGCAGGGGAAGACTATAGGTAAATATAACAGTCATATTGCAAAAGTTTTCTTTATGCTCAATTTTTTTTTCATTGATCTCCAGATTATATATTTTTTTTATCAATCATAATACATGGTATTTTTTCTTCTTGAAGATTCCAATATGTGCTGGCAGCAGCTACATCGATAGCAACAAAGATCAACGAAGAATCGCTCACATATCTCAACCAGTGCCAGTCTTATGAAATCAAACTGAAGAAACTCGGCGACCTTTCCTCGTACAGAGGCACAATTCTGAAGAGTGTTATCAGAATTTGCTTCCACGAGCGCCGCTTGCAGTATATGGAGAGAGAAAAGCTGGCTGCTTGGCGGCAGTCTCGGCCTGGAGACAGGATTCTTGAGCTTGACATTCCTCTGTCATATGGATTGTGGGATGTTGTGCAGGACCTCGAACAGCTCAACACTGTCGAATTCTCTTGGGATCCAACAAAGGAAGTTGGAGCTTACATTAAAGTAAGTCGATCAATTTTAAGAAATTGTAAAAAACTGAAGAATTAAAAAAAACAGGTTAACTGCATCAGCACTGAATTCACTCCAAAAAAACATGGAGGAGAAAAAGGGGTTCCGTTTCGCATTCAGGTAGAAACGTATTCTCAAAGTGATACCAACAGTGTCCGACGTCTCCACAGCGCTGCTTGTCAAATTAAAGTTTTTAAGGTAATACATTTAATCTAGAAGTTGCTCGTATATTAAATGTCTCTATTGTAGCTGAAAGGTGCTGACAGGAAACACAAGCAAGACCGAGAGAAAATTCAAAAACGGCCCGTGTCGGAACAGGAAAAATATCAACCTTCATACGAATGCACTGTGCTCACAGATGTAAGCAAAATAAATTTTGAATCTTATTTTATGTAATAAAATTTTTGACAGATTGCTCCAGAAACTACCATTCTTTTCCCGTCGAGTTCATCTTGTGCCACCGGTGGATTGGTCGGTGGCTTTAATGGACCAGAAAATGTGTAAGTAGTGTATGATAGTCAGGATTTGTTTTATTAAAAGATTATCACTATCCAGACAAGGAGGAGGAAGCCCCACGAGCATGGTTAAAGAAGAAGGTGCGGCATGCAACAATGGGAGTGGAGCTTTGCCTAGCCAGGGAGCTCAGCAACCAACCCCTACAGATTTTATAGAGGAAGTGCCGGTTAGAATATTTTGATTGTTAAGTGGTAAAAAAGTCATAAAACTCTTCTTTTAGGTATACATGGAGCCATTGCCTGCTGAGGCTACTGCGCCGCAAACAGCCCAGTGGCTTCAGACGCAACGATTTGGGCAGTACCTGCGGACATTCAGCAGCTTCTGCGGCTCGGACATTTTGAGACTGACCCGAGACGACATGATTCAAATTTGCGGCCTTGCTGACGGCATCAGACTCTATAATGCGCTACATTCCAAGTAGGATTAAAATTTTGGACAAAGTGAAAAATTAATTTTTTTTATAAGGTCAATCATTCCCCGACTGACACTGTATCTGTGCCAAGAGGGTGCTCAAGTTTATCACGCCCTCTACCTGAATTCGCTTCAAAGATCAGAGATGACCTCTCGTTTAGCAGAGTTGGTCGGCATTCCATCTCACAGTGTCATTGATGTCTACCTGCAAGGACCCAACGGCATCCACGTCTTTTTGACAGACCAAGTTGTTGCCAACCTGAAGGATGATTCCATGTTTTTTGTGGAAATCATTAATGGTAAGATTTTTGTTTAAAAACTAGTTGGGAATTAAATTTATATCTATTTTTTGCAGATACGTCTAGCGAAAGCTTCCGCCTCTTGCTCAAACAAACAGCTCCCCAGTAGAAAATGAAAGTGAAAAACAACACATGTGATTAAAGAAAGATGCTGGTTGATTTCAAAGAAAAACAAGGAAGTGATATAGATTTTTCTAACTAAGTATCCAGCATGGCTGAAATGTACAAAAACTAGTGCTCTTTTCTTGCCAATGAAAGGAGTCATATCATCGTCGCTCTGGATAGTTAGATGTGATAAGTTTCAAGAATAAATTAGTGCGACACTAATGAAGATTAACCAGTTCTAAGGGAAGTGGGGCCAAAATATTTTACTGTAGCATTAATATGAATTGATATTGAATTTTAATTGCATTATGACGTCAACTGCCATTTGTACAAGGTGCTGGGATTCAAAATACCTTAAATGTTATGTTGGTTAATTTGTGAATTCATTGATCATTCAGAGTTTCCAGCAATAATTATGTATTGCATTTTTTTTTTTTAAATATTGGTCAAAATTATTGGACGAGCATTCATTAAAAATATTTTTAATTTTGAATAAAAATCTACAGTGTAGTGGAATATTTTCTGACAATGTCTCTGTAGAAGTCAAAAAGGAAATCTGAAGCTTGCCGGCACTTTTCGAGCCCGTTGTTGTAGACTTGAATTGGAAAGGTGCCGGTTGTGTACGAGGCGATCACATTTTTATCGATGCTGTCAAATGCAAATGTGAGAGTTGCTTTGCAGTCCTGAAATTAATAAAATTTCACTTTCCATAAAATACAATATAACTTTTTATTTGAAATTTAGAACCTTTAGCTTATTTCCATCCGGGTCGACAATGATTATGTTGTCATTTGTGATTCCGCAGGTCACTGCTGCGAAAAGGAACTTCATGGCCAATCCAGAGTCCATCAGAGCCAAACAAGAGGCGTTTATTGAACAAGCCAAAAGCTAATACAAGAATTACAATCAATTTTTTTTTTAACAAAATCCTTTACCCCTCCCGAGTCTTGCATTTCTTGAAGAATGACCGACACTGTGGTTCGAGGGTACAGGGCGGCAAGCATAGCAGTCTCGCATGTGTCTTTGATGATTGTTTCTCGCATTCGATCGTTCGGACAAGGCAATCCTGACTTCGGCCTGAATATTGTCTCAACAAACGCTCGGTCAACCTGAAGTCTTTGCATTCGAACTTCCGAAGGTCCGTAAACTGCCGACATGACCACTGTGTGCCCTGCAAAAAAATTATACATGTATTTTTGATTTGCCAAATGTTTAAAGACATAAATTGCTAATCAATAATGAAAAAATTGACAATTTGCCTTGTGTGAGAATTGCAGATCCGTCTGGTCTGGTGATGACTCCAAGTTCGCACAAAATCGGCCTGATGGAACAGTCACCTCCGTCCTCAACATGTGATCCATTTGAGTTCATGTTTTTCTATTACTAAATCATATAATTTACTGTAAAACTTTACGTTAACTATAGTAATTTGAGCAAAAAATACCTAAAAAATCTACAACATGCAGATCAAGTCCAGCGTGCATTTGTTTACAAAAAGATCGCGCACGCAATACGCATGTGATTGGCAGAGACCTCTACCGGTGTTTATTCTTCGAAAGTTGCGCCAATTAGGTACTGCCGGTTGCATAAATTTTATTAATTTTTATTTTCTTTTACTTGCCTTTGTTTACGCGCTTAAATAATTACAATATTATTATCCAATTCAAAACAGTGAAGTTTTTATTATTTATTATCACCACCTTTCCGTGCTGTTTGAAAAGTATAGCATATTTAGCAGGTCATCAGCAAATTACCTACGCACGCTTTTAGCATTTTATAATATTAATTACATATATTTAATTTACTTTTGATTTAATATGTTATGTTGATTTGAGTAAAGGCTGCGCATCTTTTCCAAATTTAGTTGATTGAACTTGAAAACGCGCCATTGCGTCCAATGAATATAATATTATTATTATTATTAATTATTCTTGATTCTCAGTCAATAATAACCAGAAAATTAAGGAATTAATTAATTTTATTTTAATACGCTCAGGAGATTTTCAGTATCAATTTTACGTTTAATTGAATACTCATCGCACATTTCAACAAATAATTCTGCGCAATGCGATAATTATACAAAGATTTAAAGAAATAAACTGGGGGATGAGGAAATTTGCAGCGTTTGTACTGTGCCTAACGGGAAAGTCGGTTGACGAAAGGGCAAAAGTTTTAACTTTAACAGCCCTGCCTTGGTTATTGTAGTAGGATACATTATAACTGAAAAGGAAAAAAAACATTAAAAATTATGTAGTACTTACATTATTAAAATTACCCTCCTTCTTGTGGTTGTATCGTCAAACTGAGTTGCCCCAGTGAAATGTACGAGTTTTCGTCTCCGGCCATTGTCACTGGTCGGACTTGATCAGAGGAAAAATTTCCTGCCAGCCAAAGTCTGGTGAAAAAAACATTATCGGTGTACGTAGTTTCAGATTTGGGGGCGATGCAGGTCAACTTGTCCGTGCCGGAACAAGCGACGAGACCGCACGTCTGCTCATTAAACAGGACCCTCCCGTCGGCAGCAGTGCGATTTCCATTGAATGCAAGCAACTATAAATATTTTAATTGAAAAAATTTATGCTTTTTCAAAATTAGAGACCTAAATATATAAACTTTGAATAGTTAAAGTACCACTAATATAATTAAAAAGTATATATTAATAACAAGAAAAAATTCGCGTTATATAATTAATTGCCTGATAATTCGTTGTAGCAGAAGAGCCGCTTGAAAACGTCTGGTAGGTTAATGTGCAGCAAAATCCGTCAGAGTGGCAAACTTCAATTGAGTTCTGACTTTGACTGCTCAAAGGGACAGCGACCGCTGTATAATTGCTGAGATCCATTCCTTCGTCCGCCACAACTTCACGGCTGAATTTTTGCTCATCTCTTTTTTCTTGTAAATTTATCGGATCTTCTATGGCCATTCCAAGAGATAGGTACCCACCAGAGCCAACAGGGTGGCTCACGGAATAGGATCCGCTTGGGAAAAAGATACCAAAGCCGGAATAACCAAGTTCCGCTCTTTGATAGTTTGAGGACGTCAAGAAAGTTGGATTATTTTTTTTGTTTGCTTCAACCCAGCCCATTTCCACTGAGGTTGCTAAAAATATTATTTAAATAATACTAATAACCAATTAATTTAAAAAGAAATAAAAATTCGCTGAAAATTTTCATAAAATTTGTAGCAAAAGATTTATCCAATATTTTAAAATTTACCACCGAAAAATTAATTACTTACAAAATTCGAAAGGCATTTTATTTTGCCATGCGCCGTTGAAGATGAAGTGGTGAACACTTTTATTCAAAAGCGACTTAAACGGTTCTAGAAATAGCAAATCGTAGCCCGTAAGGAGACCGAAAGTTACATTGCTCTCTGTGGTGAAAGTGATCGGTTCAAACGACGGCGCCGCATCGAGCGCTGTCTCATGTATCAAATTAAACCTCCGGTATCTAGAATACATAATAAGTTTATTAATTTATAAATATGTTAAATTGTTTTATTTATTAAAAACAAACTTTGCAATCAAATATCCATTTTTGTCAAAAACGACAGTCGTGCTGTAAATTCGCAGCCCGTCGCAGTCTTTGTCGCTCATTCCGCAAAGGCGCGGCACTTTTTCCAAAAGGCTTGCCACAGTATATGCGTAATTGTTTCGTGACAAGCATGACAACCGCGTGATAACCTAAATGAATTTTAATTCAACAAGATATTATCAATTCGTCAATCAATGAAAATTATCAATTTGTTAAATATATTTTATTTATCAAGCATCCGAATGAATGTGATCTTTCTACTGACAGAAAATGAAAACCGCTTGCTGAATTTTAAAGCATTAAAATTATACATACACAAACAATCTATAGGAAAGTATTTTTTTAACGTTTTGAATGATAAAATAATTACTTGAAAATTAATTACTTCTTGCAATATATCAATTGAATTTGGATAAAAATTATATAAAAAAAGTGAGGGGAAAATTATAAATATTTTAAAAAACTCACGAGCTCGTCCGGATCATTGCTTCCAACTTTGCAGGGCACAAAAACGTTTCCAGGTTCTGGTACCCTTTGTGCAAGCTTACCTGCCAAAGTCCTGTTGTGAATCACCTCCGTCGTTGTAAGTGCATATTCAGGGAAAATACTGATGTAGTCAATTGCCTAATATTCAAATGGCAAAATACACTTGCTGGTTTTGAAATTAAATAATTTTTCAAATACGGATGAGTTGAAATGAGGTCGATTTTTTGATTCCTCCATAACTTGGAGATTGTCATCCAAAATCGAACTTTCGATGTCTGTCTCATTCCATCCTACGGCAGTCCACGCATAAGTTTCAATGGCAAATGTTCTCTATAATAGGAGAGAAAAATAACTATTTTCCTGCTATTTTCCAAATGCTAGTTCTTGTTCAGTACCAAATAACATTATTAATATTTTTTTTATACTCAGATAGGAATAATTAATGAACTAAAATATTTAATAAAAAATGACATTTACCTTTGCAATTTTTGACGATCCATTTGACAATGACACGAGAGTTTGTGTGCAATAAATAAAAAATAGAAAATATGACCCCAGAATTTGGTGTTTCATCGTGCAGATATTAGACGCTTCTGCTGGATCGGCAAAGTTACTACAAATGACTGGTCACAGCAAAACATTTTATAGCATTTATTTTCAAGCGATAGCAGGTAGCAAACCCCTGCTGCTTATCTGAATGATGCATATAGGCAGGTACGACACCAACTTTTTATGGATTAAGCACGCAATAAAACAAATAAAGATAAGGACGGAATTCAGCAAAGGTTTTTTTTTAAATTGGTTTGGAATAAATGGAATAAATAAAGGAAAAGTATCAAATAAAAGTTGAAAAATAAAATTTGTAACTTGGTTGTTGTTATCTCATGATTTCTCCGCGCGCGTATACATTTTTTATTGTGGAAGCCAAAGATAAAAAAAAAAAAATGGTGCAATATTGCACAAAATATTATGCCTTTCAAAAAACATATTTCTTTTAATTCCATAAATTTCTTTTGTTTCCGTCTCTGTAATTTGGTATATTCATATTCACAACATAAAATATTGGGTTTAATATGTAAAAAAAAACGCAAGAACTTTATGCATCTGAATCCAAGTGGCTGAAAATATGAATATTTATTAAACAAAACGGCTTGTTTTAATTAACGGCAAAACTGTACAATTTAAGTCACTGATAATAAAAATTATGAGTAGTATTTAATTTTGCATTTAGCAAGCCGCTACTGCTAGAGATGATTCCATTAAAATTGATGACGCATATTATGACGCTTCTGACGCGGTTTTGAAATCTATAGATTGCATAATGATTAATTCATTGACTGATTGATTTATTATTTTTATCAAAACATGAACTTTAAATTAAAAAAATCTTTTGAAACTTATTGATTTGTCTCCTTTGCTCACTATGATTTATAGGGCTTACAATTAAAGTGACATCCTTAAGATTTTGCACAAGTGGCGAATGAACTGATTTGTATGGGGCTGTGGTATCCCAATTATTTGGACACCAAACTTCATTCTTGGAAGTAGTCATAGTGTAAATAGTACGAGTTATTTGAGAGCTTTGGATAAAAAATTTTATCCAAAAGTATCAGCAGGATTGGACTGCGGTTCACTGGGGAGAGCGGCCCAGTTTAATTCAAATTCAACGCCGTTGCGCCTACGCACGATTAGCCAGTCCTGGTCAGAGTCGAGTATGGGACAAGGTTGGATTTTAAGAGAACACAATATTTAGATCGATTTTGAAAATTTAATAAGTTAAGGTTTAAATACAATTTTTTTATTGAACAAAAAGAAGCAGAAAAAATGCCGTTGGATATTGGTAACAAAATTTATAAAAATTTGGATAAAAAAACAACAAAGAGATTATTCTGTAAATCATTGTATTATGTTTGAGAAAGCTTCATTTAAAATTTAATGCTATTCACTTAACAGCACAAATGCAGAACTTGTAAGAAATGCCAATTTGAGAATTATAAAAATACAGACCTGTCCATTTCATGGAAGACAAATTGAAAACATTTTTGGTTAATTGCAATGGATAATTTTCACAACTTTATTCCTCTTAATAGTTGTGAGGAAAAGTATCAAAATTGAACTTGAGGACATTTATGGACATGATTAATTATTGTTATTCACATACGGGCTCAAACTATTAAGGGACACAGATAAAATTATCCTCAAATTTTTTTTATCAAAAAGACTTTGATCTTTGTGTAGAAAAACACGAAAATATGGGCTAATAATAAATGTGAAAATATATTAATACTGCTCTGTGCATTAGAACGGAGCAACAGACCACAACTTGGTGTTGCAGTCCTGACCAGTTGACACGATGGTTTCGTTGTCCAGCCAAGCCAAACGGGTGATTTGACTCTGAGGATGAGCGTCTGAGAAAAGAGAGTCAATGAATAAGACAGCAATGCTTGTATTTACAATGAACTCACTCTTGATGATGAGGTGCTTGTTGGGCTGGGCGACGCTCCAGACAATAATGGTTGTGTCGAGAGAGCCGCTTGCTACTAGCGATGAGTCGGGCGACCAAGCGACAGTGTTCACCCTGGCAGTGTGGAATCCCCATTCTTTATTGTGTGCATGCTAGAAATAAGGGTCCAAAATTAAAATTTAGCATTTGTTAACATAATACAAAAAGTACAATTTTAAAAGAGGATGCACACAAAAAAATTATTGCTAGAAATCAGAAATAGAAACAAATCATGAAAGAGAGGTTCAAAGTTTTAAAATAAAAGCAACAAGTGAAAAGAGAGACAAAGCAAAAAAAGTAGAAGTGACAAGAATTTCTATCACCCATTTTTGTGACAATGTATTATTTTAAGACTGGATCCATGTGTCAAGTTATGAAGTTAGTAAGGTTACTCACTCCCTGAAAATAGAAATTCCATGGTGCAATTAGCAACTGTGACGACAACAAGTGGTTAATTTGCTATGGCGTCACAAAATTGTTTAAAACTCTATTTCGTTTCAGTTCCGACTGATGCCATAGCAGAATCATGATTCAATTTTGTGAGTAAAATTTTGAATAAAAATTACCTTGTAGTCATCAGTCTTGTACAGAATGACTTTCCGGTTGGTATCACAAGCAACCAAATACTGTCCATCAGGAGAGTAACTGCAGTCAGTTACAGGACCCAGGTGCTCCAGGGTGAGTTTCTCGGCAAGATTGGTTCCGTTCAGGGAATAAATGTGGACCTTCATTAAGAAAAATTTAGAACTTTACTTTGAACAACTGAATTAAAAAGACCGAATTGTCAGCTGAGCCACCGACAGCCACGTCTCCGGTGCTTTGGTTGATGGACACAGACGAAGGTTCGTAGTCAACAGGTAAGGAGGAAACCTTTCTGCCTCCTTCGACAACACTGACGTCCTTGATGCAACCAACAACCACTGTACTTCCCTTCACGTCCATTCCTCTCGGCTGACTTCCGAGCTTGACATCTGCAGGCAAGTACTGCTTTGACTCGATATTGATGGTTTTGAGGCTGTCGTCAATTCCGCAGGTCAGCAGGGTCGAATCAGTGGCTCGCATGCCGTTGATCTGATTCCCATGACCGGTTCCAGACATCCTGTCATTGTTTCCTGAATAAAAAATGAAATTAATAAGGTAATTATCAAAATTTGAAAATAAACCTGTCGCAGCATCCCAGGTGGTGACAAATCCATCGTGAGATCCAGTGAAAATTGACTTGCGATCAGTGCTGAGCTCAAGAACAGTGATCGGTTTGTTGTGGCCTTTGATGATTCGAATTGGTTTGCTGGGGTTGTTGACGTCAAGATAGTTGATGAACCCGCTCAGGGATACAGTCAGTAGGTGCTGCCCTTGCCACAGACAGGAGACCTGACACGATTTTCGATAAAGTTTCACTAAAAAATTCATCAATAATTATATTTCTGTACCTGCTGATCCTCGACAGTGTTGCCCATGTTGAAAGTTGTGACGGCAGTCCTCGTTTCAACGTCCCACAAACAACAGGTCTTGTCTCCAGACGCGGTGAGCAGTTGCTTCCCATCAGGGCTCCAAGCCACGCCGTAAACTCCTCCCTTGTGTGCAGGACTACCCACTTCACCAACAAGATCAGACGTGTTGCCGTCATAGATGAAAACCTTTCCATCAAAGCCAGCCGAGGCAAAGTGGTTTCCACTCGGAGAGTAGCGAACGGCCTGGACAAAGCGGTTGTGCTCCTGCTTGGTCATCTTGAACTTGAAAGGTGGGCCCTCGAAAACACCAATGGTGTTGTCCTCACTTCCAGTTACAATGCGGAACGGTCGAGATGGCTTAAAGTCACAAGAGTTGATTGGCTTTGACTGTCCAGATATTTCCCCAACAGATGTTCCCGTTTCTGACATGAAAACGTGACCAAATCTATAAAAAAAAAACGATCACACAAGGAGATTAATTAGTTAACAACCTTTAGAACAAAATTTACCTTTCTCTTCCCTCACCAACGACAACCATTCTTTGGTTGTCTGGGGACCAGGCAATGTCCTTGATTGGGCCTCCAATGGGCTGAAATTCATTTTTCAGCAGGTGCTCCTTGTTAACTGTATCCCAGATCCTAATTTTCCCAGACTGGTCTGTGAATAAATGTTTTTTCTTGAAATTTTGCCACAAATAATTTCGGTTCTAAAAATACCTCCAGACGCAATGTAGAATCCACTTGGTGAATATTTGGCAACATTCACTGCACATGAGTGCTCCGTGTAGATGTCAGAAATGGCGGGGTTCTAGAACATTAATTTTTATTAATTGTTAAATAAAATTTTGAATCACTCGAGATTTACATCAATATTCCTGATGATGACGCTATTGCCATTGGTGTAAAGGAAATTCTTTCCTTTTGGATCTCCACCAAGGACGATTGGCTGTCCCCGGTTAGTCTTTGGCAAAGTAGCGTAGATGTACTCTAAAAATAAAAATTTAATTTAATTTCAGTTGTAAAGCAAAAATTTAATTAAAAAAAATAAATGATATTTTTTAATAAAACGCGCCGTCATGTAAAGGATCAGAGTCTTTGTCAAACAAAATAAGTGCAAGTATGTATGTAGTGCAAGTCAGCACAAAAAGTCATCACCATATAAGGTCAACGGCACAGATATCACAAGGCGATCATGATTCACTTTACAAAAAGCAAGAAAAATCGAGATAAAGTTATGGCGCTGTGCAAATCGTAAAAAAGAATTTGTTCCAATGAGATTATAATTTCAGCGATTTAGGAGTCACGAGCATATTGTGGACTTATCAGACCGTGGATCCTGTTACTTATAATTTTTTGAAGAGATCATAAAAGAGAATGCTTAAAGAATTTATCAAATAGCGTGAATTTTGGTAAACTTTCCTGCAGCTTTTAAATTACTTGTTCCGAGACCTCCAAAGTAAAATTTTACTATTAAGGAAGCTCAAAATAGACGAAAATGACAATCCAGTTGCTGTTGCAGGAGGGTCAATGATTCCGAGTTGTAATGAAATCCAGCAGGATAAAAATAGAGCTCTCTGAATCTTGGACCCTCGCAAACAAACAGCTCTCGCCGGACCCGATTTTGCGCGGATTTTACATGATTTTGATGGAAAATTTTCTAACCCCATCGTAAAGGAACTAATTACAAACGCAGAGTTCATACTTACTGTTCGAGAAAGACATTTTGGACCGAATTTGACGAAAATACAAAACCACCTCCCTAAGGAAGTTGTGTTTTCAGGATAACACGCCCACGGCGGCTGGCTGCTGCCGACGGAGGGGAAACGTAGACAGAAATCGAAGGGGAAATTCTCGGTTTCTGACTGGCTGATGATTCCGGATGGTCTTGGCAATTGGCAACGGCGCTAAATTTGAATATTGTTGATGGTAATGAAAAATGGCGGAACTACCGACTGTGGAGATAAACAGAACGTGCCTTTCCTTGCTTTTCCGGGACAATGCGTTGAGTCCAGGAGATCAAGTATGAAAATTCTTGACTTTTCGCAAACCTTATTTCTTAATTTGAAAAATTTGACCATGTTACTGCCGCAGTAAGATACTGTGTGTAAATTTAAATTCAATCGTCTGACAGCTCCTAACCATTTTTGTTTTAATGATTCCATAATTATATTTTTTTCACCTTTTCCACATTAACATTTCATTATTTAAATTCATAGGAAGGCTTCCTAATTGGGGAAGTAATCGAGAGGGCCTTGAGCCTTAGTGATACGCAGGAAAATGTTGGAACAGCCACTGTGATAAGTAAAGAATCTTTTGAAAATTCATCTGAACATCGAAAATAACAACTTTACATATTTCTTTTCCACAGAGATTACATCAACTTTTCCCATTCCCAAGCACTGCAGATTCTACAATGGAGTAGGAAAAATAGACCATGCTGCACTGGAAGATCTTCTGGGCCCATTTTCAGATGTAAGGTTTTTAGTTTAACATTTCAGATTTTTACTTAATGAAGATTGTTTTTTAGAAAATAGTTGGCTATTTTGAGTTCAAGAGAAACCTGAATGAAGAAATTGAAGAAATAATCACCTTTACCCAACGCAATGTATTCATGCAACTTGGTCAGAGAGCTGGACATTCCCACGAGAAGCCCTTTGTCTTCATGGTCCTTAGACAAAGACATGAAAGCAGAGGTGTGATTCAAAACTCATTTGGCTACTTCACATTCAGAGATGGGTAAAATCGAATAGAAAACCTTAAGATCAAATTAAAAACTGTCTGTAATCAGGTCGCTGATCAAACTGGCAAGCAGTATTCCGAACTTGGGAGATACGTCTCACGATCGCTACGTTCAAAACGCTCCAGTGCCTCTGGTTGACAATCTTTTTGCCAAAATGTGAGATCTTATATTGCCAAATTAACATATTTTAATTTTAATTCTATTACAGGACTGCTCCAAAGAAAGATCCAGCTTCTCTGCCTGTGGTCAAAATTCATCTGGCTATGTTGGAGCAGCTGAAAATTGCTGCTAATAACGCTGTTGTTTTAGAAGAAGAATACAAAATAGCCAAATATTTGCTTGACAAATGTGAAGCAGATTTAGCAGATCGCAGAAAAGCTAAGAAATTGCAGACAGGTGAAATAAAAAAATACCAAAAATAGCTCAACCAATGAACTTATCATTTTATGCATTTCAGCTATAAAACGCCATAAGGTTGATGATCAAGTTGTGCCATCTACTAGCAAAACAAACTGCATGGTAAACAGAAAAATAAAAATCTAATATTTTTGTTTGAACTCTTAATATTTACAACAGTCCTCTGAACCTCCTGCAGCAGGCTCAAGCAAATCTGAATTGAAAGTAAAAAATTCAACCTGATGCACCATTCTACTTAAAGGTCAGTCAACAAAACAAGAACACCAAGAATACTATTTTTATCTTCTCTCGGTTCAGAGCCGAACTTCCTAAATGTGCAAACCAAAATATTAAAGTTATTTCTAATATTCTTATTATTATTAATATGCAAAAGAGATCAAATATTCCATTAATTTTACATTTTAAATTATTTCTGGTCTGGTAATAAATTAAAACGCAAATTTAATTGCAGAGTTGTTGTAAATATTTTTAAATAAAAACCGCTGGTTGGATTTAAAATAAAATTTATTGATAAATGACGTGATTATGGCCATGCAATATGAGAAATGCATACATTAAAATAATTAACACTGTGATACGGATGATGACGCTGCTTTGGATTGATGGCTGTGAGTAACACTATAAATTATCAAATTTAATAACCAAGGGCAGGTACGCATAACTATGAATACTGTATCAACAAGCCCTCATTTAGTGAGCAAATTCCTTAGAGATTATTAACACTGATGATTTGATTGATCCATCCGATAAAGGCACTAACTTTGACATAAACGCCGGGCACATCTTGCCTGCCACAACCAAATCCCCAGGAAACCAAACCGGCCAACTCGTAAAATCCGTCATCCTGGCACACCAGGGGACCACCTCCGTCTCCCTAAAATTGTCATCATCTCAATCCGAAAACACGATTTGAATTTGTATTTTACCTGGCAAGCGTCATTTCCTTCTTCTCCACCAGCGCAGAAACTGCTCGCTGGCAAAATGAAGATTTTCTCGGTCACAGCGTTAATTTTCCTCAAACATTCGGCGTCGCTCACAATTGGAATTTCCGCTTCCCTAACTCTCAGGGGGATTGGGCCGGCTAAAATTAAAAATTAAATTAAACAAAATTCAGATAAAAACAAACAGGGATTAAAAAATTATTAACTAGTATTTTAAATGAAAATATCAAACAAACCTTCTCCCATGTATCCATAGCCGGTGACGGTGCACCTTTTGCCTGGCGGGTGTCCTGCGCCCCTGGCAGGCAGACAAACCAGACAAACGCCGGCCTCCGTAAGTTCGGCCTGGCCCTGCAGCTTGAGTAGTGCGACGTCGTTGTCCAAAGTTTGCGAATTGTGGTTGTGGTGGATGTAGGTGGTGGCCACGCGCAACGTTTGGGCACCAGGGCTGCCGTATTTGCGCGTCAGGTCGTGGTCGCCCACCCTTACGTATATGGCGTCTCCAGAGCGTACAATGCTGGAATTGGGAATTTTATAAGAGTCAAATATATAGGAGAGGTCAAATAAAATTTCACTCTAAAAAAGAGAAAAAATTAAGTGAAAAATCTAAATTTACAAGTTTTATGCTTTCTTTAGAGCGTAATATCAACTTTTTGCTCTTGAAATATCCTTTTTATGGTTCAAATCAGTTCATGTAACAAATCATAAGCAGAAAATTTGAAATTTTTTAAATTATTCAAAGTTTGTTTTGTAAGATTTTGCTCGAAATATCCCAGAAACCCAATTTCCTTACTTTGTGACGCAGTGAGCCGCGGTCAAAACCCACTGGGTTCCAATGAGGGCGCCTCCGCAAAGGTACTGGTTCAGCGAGTTAATCAGGGCAACCTGCCAGCACCACTCGCCAGGATCGGCGTCCGCGCCTCCCACTACTCTCCCTTCTCTAAACGGACCCTGCAAAACCACACTTAGATTTCATTTCTCCAAGAAAAATGTATTTCATTCGTACAAAGGCAGTGCTGTTCGAGGCTCCCTCTCGCTGCGTTCCCTTCACGCCGCACACATATTTGCTGTAGGTCGGCGTCGGGCCTGGTTGCTGAACGCTGTTGATGTTGGTCGTGGCTGGAAAATTTCATTGGTTTTTTTCTAGTGTCCTTAACTTTTGGAGGTTGCTTACTGTGTTGGGGGTATTTTTGGGGAGGCAGAGGCTGGAGGCCGTGCTGCGTGCTGGGCTGGTCGATGGGCGACGGCCGGTAGGGCTGGTAGAAGGGCAGCTCGGTGTCGTTGCGGGAAAGACCAGTCGGTGGTGGCGGCGGAATCGGGTGGTGCGGATGGTGGTGTTGAGGGTTGCGTTGCTCCAGCAACTCTCGGATCAGTGATTTGTGGGCGCAGCACTGGGTGCCGGCCTTCTTACATCTGAACAAATTGGTCATTTCCGCGTTTCCTGAAAGCGAAATTAACTTTATGCTCAACTACTCTGGCTTTGCCTTCATTGATTTTGATCTTTTTTTTGTTAAATTTCAAGTATTATTTTTTTTTAACATTTAAAGTTTCTCAGCTCATTTATAAAATATTTTAGAATATTTCTCTAAAATATTCTTCCTGATTTTAAGTTCTTACTTACTGAAGCACGTGAACGAGAGGTATGGCACGATGCAAGAGCCAGGGCACTCAGGTCGCGGGTCAGGCGGGGGAGGAGGGGTGCTCGTCGTTGGCGGCGGGGGTCTGGTAGCTGGGGGCGAGTTGGTCAGCAGAGCTGTGATTGGGCCAAGACCACTAAAAGCGCTGTCCAAGGAGGACAGAGTGTCCACGACTGTGTTGACGGCGTCAAGGGCGCTGGACGCACTGCTGACGGCCGGTTTTGGTGGCGGAGGCGGAGATTTTGTGGCCGGAGGTGGAGGTGGGCTGAAGAATTTTAATTTTTTTTTTAACATGAAGGAACAGTATATCTTGATTTTAATTAAAATTAACACAAATCTAGTAAATTCCTAAAATTCCTTGTAAAATGAGTAAAAATTCAATTAATTTTATTGGGCCAAAGTCTAAAGAAAGTTTGAATTTTAAATTACCTCCTAGTGTTGTCGCAACATACTGATCCCTTAGCGCAGTTTGCCGTGTTCTGAATGATCACTGAAGGTCGTTCGCAGAAAGCAGCCATGATGCTTAGCAAACAGAAACCAGGACACTTGGGCACTTGGCCCTTTGGAGGCTCTTGCTTGGTGGCCAAGACTGTGGTTGATATCGGGGTCGTCACTTCCGGCACTCTTTCGAGAGGCCTTGTTGGTGTCACAGGGTTGTTGATGCAACAACTGTCGTCACCTGCCAAACAGTTACTCTCATAAAACAATCGGCAATTTCAGCAGTTAATTTTTAAATATTCATACTGTTGTAAAAATTACAAATTATTATAGAAAGTTTTACCTGGGCAGGAGGCCTCAGTGTCGACGTCGTCACAGAAAAGCGCAAACAATCCACTGACGCACTCGCCCTTGCACTGTTTTCCGAACTGGGCTGCTGAAGTGGGCGCTGGTGTGGTGGTGGTTGTGGTCGTCGTGGTTGAAGCCGTGGTCGTCGTCAATGGCGGCACCGCTGTCGTCGACAGCTTTGTCTTGTTATTTCTGTCCATTATGATCAGCTCTGGAGGGGCCTTGTCTGCCGAGTACACGTCCCTCGACACGCAGCAGCGCAGCCCTGTTTTGCAAAGGGACGAAATGTCCAGCACCGCCTCGCAATAGTCTGCGATCCGCTCGGCCACGCACACCCCTGGGCAACTCTTTTGTCCGTCTGTCAAAACGTCACAAATTCAAAATTATTTACAACTTAAAATTATTGTAAGGTCGGGAAATTTAAAAATTTAGTCCACAATTTTACAAAAAAAACTTTTCCTATTTTTCCATCCCTGCGATTCTGTCTGGTCAACTGAAGTATAAAAGGTAAAAAATTTAGTCATTGCTCATATTTTTATATTGCAAATGTCATCATTTTGCATCGGTGCTATTTATTTATCACTTATATGCCCAATCCGAAGAATTTTTCCTAAAATGATATGTTTTCAATGAAAAAAAAAAAATAGTGTAGGGATTGGAGGTTTTTGATTTGAAAATTATACTAAATTAAATTAGTAAATGAATTATTGTTTCACCTGTTCCCTTTAGTTCTGATGTAGGAGGTGGTGCTTTACTAGGCAAAGGCGTCGTTGAAGATGATGGTGATGCCGATGGCCTTTTTTGGCTTGACGTGCTGATCTTATCAGCTATATTCAGATACACAAGTTATAAATTTGAATACGATTCTACTTCCTTGAGGATTGAACGTAAAATATTGTTCAAATTTTGATCTTGGTAATTAAAAAAAAATACCTGGGGCTGACGTTGCAGGGGTGGTGGTGTTGTCTGGGGGTGCGTCTACGCAGCACCGCATCGATGACGACGGACACGCCACGTCTTCGAGCACCTGCGAGCAAATTAGCGAGGCGAGTGCGTGCATACAAACGCCAGGGCAGTCTTTGCTGTTGGCTGTGCTTGTGATAGTTTCCAATAGACCTGCAAATTCAAAATTTAACCATTTTCAGTAATATTAATAAGTGGATTATTTTCATGGGAAACTCAATTGTGGATTTCCCAGCATTTTATGAGTCAAATTTAAAGTATTATTATCTGCGATTATAAAATTTGAAACTTTTTTATATCTTCTATAATATTATTTTTATTCAACGTATTCAGTATGCTTTTTTTATATAATATTCCTACAATTTTTCATATTAAATAAATATTTTTGGATTTATGTATTTTAAATTAACACTGTTTATTTGATAACGATGCTAATTAAATTATGCAAGTGACAACCAGGGGCGTCTACGATTTAGCCGTGGAAATACTGTAGTCCACTTAATTGCTTTTTTGTCTAGAGGTTTAAGAGGTTGCATGGCTGGCGGTGCCATTGAGAGGGACATTTTAAGCTCCGATAGCAAGTTGGCAGTGGCACAATCACTGGAAATGAAACGTTACAAGGAATGCGACATAAATATCCTAAGCAAACAAAGGAAGAAAGAATTTGATTACCCATTTACGCAAAGGCTTGTTACAAGTTAGGGTACAAAAGTTGTTTAGAATAACAAAAATGCAAGAATTCTGACGGCTTTTTACATTATAAAGGAAAATCCTGGAGTAGCGGTGTCCTGCTTTGAAAGAATATTTATTTTATACCTCACTCTTTTACTTGTAGCTGAATTTATAAAATTTAAGTGACAACTGAGATCATTAAAATATATTATAATCAATTTTTTTAATTTAAAAAGAAAATATTTGTGCACTTTTAATTTTCTATAGTTATCATTTAAATATATTTTACCAATTGTTGTAGGAAAGTTAGTCGCGTTGAACAATTTCGTAAAAGACTGTAACAATGTTTTAACTCTGTATTAAAAGTTAAAACAGAAATTTATAATTGTTTATTGAAAGGGCTGCCAATACCTATACCTTTTTTGCAAACTATTTATAGATTAATATTTGGCGTGCATTATCAAGTCGACGCCGTTAATTGATTGCGTAGCCAAAAAGTGCCTCTCGAAGGGTCTCACACGCAGGTCCCATCGTAAACTTTACACCTCGGCCGCGCGGCAAGTCAACGAACGAAATATGGTCTCAGAAAAGCAGTAAAACCAGAAAAGGGATATCATCACAAAGTTTCCTCAGGTATATCTATTTCTCTCTAGCTGAGCGAGAATTAGGAAACCTTGGCTGTGGTTTCCAAATTATACCCCCGCGCCTCGGCACCCCCCCTCGGCCGGGGCTCCAAAGTGGCCAATTTCTGTGAGCCGTCGTTAATGGGCCAATTGCGCAACAGGTGCGCCTTGTTTGCCTGGGTGTGCTCCGTGCGTGTGTTCGGTCGGTCGTTCGGCAGGGAGAGGGGAAGGGGCAAGGACACGGCGGGGTTGATGACCTGCACACAGGTGACTGCATTCCTGCCATGCCTAAAACACACTCAGTCGAGCACTCGGTCCGTCCCTTCACTTAAGGCCCCTGCGTTAATTAGTATGCGATTGTTCGCGGCACCGGTGCGCCATTTTTCAATTGTCGTACGTATTTATGGAGACTCTGCCATATTATCTTGGCCGCCTCTGCATTCCGAGCCCTTTTCATTTGCTAATCGCAACCACGACCCTGGACATCTCCCTGACCGACTGAATCGCAGGACACTTGGTCCTTCCCATCAACTTGCTTTTACTTTTATTTCAGTAATAATAAGTCATTAATATATTATTTTTTTTCTTAACTGAAGGGAAAAGCAAAATCTTTCAACAAAAATCCGAAATCGATGGGGTAAGACAAATTCAAATTAATTAAGTATCATTTAAATCAATGCTCTATTACTATTTTGATAAATTCTTGACCAATTAATTAATTAAATGGAATCTGAATTCTGAATTAAATCCATATGAAGCGATGAATCTAGACCAAATCGCGGGCGGCTGTAGCTCACGTGCTTTATTGTTAAGTGTGACAATTAAATCAATCATAGTGTGTGCGTATGTGCGATGAGAGAGAATCGAGTTTGTGCGCTGATTCGATGCTGCCGTTTTTGTGCCCGCCGAGGAAACAATTGTAGTCAGTAGGACAAACAATCAAGTCCGAGTGAGCGAATTAAATAGAGTGCAGACCACAAGGGACACTGATCCAGTGACAACAGACGCTTCAAGATTGTGGATCAACAACAAGAAGTGCAACCAATATGCTTCCATTTCACACACAAAATATAGCACTGCACTAAGAATGAGATTCTTTTAAAACGAATGTTTCGCAGATACTTTATACCGCTTTATACCTACAAAACTAAATGCAGCAAATAACGAAGAGATTTTTAGATTCTTTTTAAGCAATAAATAACGTTTTGAATGAAAAATTGTAGTGAATTTGGTTCTGTTAACATTGTATAAATTGGTAAAAAAATCATTCTTTTCAATAATACTTTTTTATGATTTATAAAATTGTGAACTTCAGCTGTTGTTTTAATTGTTTTATGTTTGTAAAAATTTTTTTCGACAAAGAAACGGTTCTACGGTCCTAAAAAGTGGTAAAAACTTTGCGCAGAATCGATTCTCGCGTGTCATTATGCTAATTTCACGCGGCCTCCGCGCGACTGCCTGTCGGCGGCACTCGCATGCAAACACACACACAGCCTGGGTACCGTACACAAATTGTTATTATTATTATTATATGGAAGTCTATACATGACCGATGCAATACAGTTATTTACTCATAGCAGAGGTGTGATCGCTCTAGCGCTGCTGACACACGGGAAATATTGATAAAACTTTTGCTACTTTGAAATAAATCTAAATCTTAAGGCAGTAAAGTTTAAATAAATGTAATGCGCCAAAAGTATAAATATGGAAGTTAATTTACTTATATCTGATATGAAACATTTTAATTTTAAATGAAATGAAGAATTACAAAGAATTAATATCATCAAAAACGTTGGATGATTTATATGTTTATTTATTCATTATTTTTTCTTTCAAATATTCATCGTTTTATTTAAATTAATAAAATAAAACATCGAATAATGACTTTTACGACTGTTACTTTGGATTAATAATTTAAAAAATGAGTTTGATGCTTCATCTCACCTGAAAAGAAACTAGAGGCGAGCGAGTCCTCATCGTCCTGCGCCCTCGCAAGGGTGGCCACCACCAGCAGTACACCGATTAAACACTTCCACAGCCCGGCCAAGTCCATGTCGGCTGCCGGCAAGGTCTGCACTGAGAGGGTCTCGTGGCGAGTTGCTCTTCTTCAGGTGGGGGCAGGAACCGTTGTTGGCCAGTGACGTCACGCCCGAGTAGGTATACCTTTTATACCTGACTGAGAGGAACGTCATCTCTGCCGCTTCCTCGAACGCTCAATGTTGCATAACACGACGTTCAAGTGCGCGCCCCTGGGGTGGTCAGCACTGACCCTGGTCACCAACGGTGGCGACCAACACGAGTTCCAAATGAATTAAAACAACTTCGCACATATTTGAATGGTTATTACAAAAAAGGCCAAAGGAACTTATTTAAACAGGGTGTTAAGAAATTGAAAGTTCCGAACAATCATTGACTTGGTTTATTTTTCCATTATTTTTTTTCTGAATGAATTGTGTTCGGTTTAATTATTTGAGCTCTGATTGTAGCACATCATATTGTCTTTTGAATGCATGACAGTGTAACAGGATTTAGGCGTCTCACTTGCACTAAAGCCGTTTTTAGTTTCCGCACCTTAATTAGTCAGTCCGTAACGACGAGAAATGCGAATATATATGAATCACACAGCAGATACAACGAAGTGATTCACATTGTCTGCACGTCCTGATTCAAAATATGTGTGCCAAACAGAAATTGAATAAAAAAAAATTGTTAATGGCTTTTCTCTTCCAGTCATTTCAGTATAAATGAGCCAAAATTATTTAATCCTTAAATTATTTGGTGCTTAAAAGCATCAATATATTTAAAGGCAGAGAAAATTTTTTTATTTTCATGTCAAATGATTAGTTTTTATTACTGAAAAGCTTATTAAGTTTTTAGTGAATTTAGTAAAAAAAAAAGAAGTCACATAATATGATGTATTTTAGCTTCATTATACATTATTATACAGGAAATATTTAATATAAAATTTTAAAATACTTTTGTGGCTTAATTTTTTAATAAAATCACAAAACTTTATCATAGTAACTTTATAAGCTCTTCAGTATTAAAACTAACATTATGAAATCAAAATCCAAAATATATCCTTTACCACGCCTTTAAATATATAATGTTTTTTTTAGCACCATTTTATTTAAGTATTAAATACTTTTGATTGAAAGTTTTGTAGTAAAATGACCGGAGCAGAGCAGCCATTAACAATTTTTTATTCAATTTCTGTTTGCTGTGTTTTTGCGGCGTATAATGTTCAACCGCAAACAAGACCCATTAATGTTCTGGTGCCTCTTCACTCGTCAGCAGCTCCAGAGAACCTCGCCGAAACGAAATTTCAGTTCTTGATTATTTTTTGCGAGCGGCGCAGTGCGCGGTCGAGAGCAAGCAAAGAAGATTGTTTGTCACCTGCTTGTATCTTGTCATGCAGGCATGTGTGTGGTATTACACGAGAGAGAAAGAAAGAGCGAGAGGAGAGGCGAAGATGTGATGTGACCACGGCCAATGACCCCCGGAGCAAAGCAACAGGCCGAGATCGAGCAGCAAGCGACGGATGAATTAACGAACGGTCCCGTTAATCCGCTCAAAGTCACTTTCCTTAGGAGATGAAATGAATTACCATTTCTAAAACTTCTCCTTTCTGGCGTTTACTTTTAATCCACACCAAGCGCCGGCCAGCGCCGCGTGGCGTTTGTCCAGCGCGCTCCTCATTGTGCCTCACTTTACAGTTCTTCCGGAGTACACGGAGCGATTTAGTTATAATTAAACCTCACCAAGGCAGATTCACAAAATAATAATAAAAATTTATAGAAACCGGTTGCAGTTTTTTTTTACTACATTAACAGTTGTAATATGATCGATAAGAGTATAAAATAATTAAAATTTTCAACATCTCTTTATTTTAGTCTAAACTAATTGCAATTTCCTTGCCAGCTTTCGGGAGCGATGAATTGTAAAAACGACTCATTCCAAGTAAGATTACGCTCCGCTGACATTTGCAAACAACAATAAGCGCTTTTTTGGGATAAATTAACCGTTACGTCTTTTTCTCTGCTGTTTCTTTCGCATCCTCTATTTGCTGGAAAGCCCCTGGCTGTCTCTTTGCGCTCTCATTGAATGTAAATCTTTCAAATTTGTAATCTTGTCAGAAGTTCATCTCCCGTTGTTTGACGGTCGATCTCCAGAGATAAATAACAATGCCTACCTACACACAAGCACGTGACCTCAACCTTCAACCTCTTCAAGGTGATTTGCACCTCCTACGTCTCTGTAGTAACAACTGATTAACGGCAGATGGGTTACCACGAGCACATCAGCCAATAAGTTTATACAGCGTGACATTAGAATTATTTCTACTTATCTTTATACACCTGCTGTTTGAAAGATAGGTATGCAACGTGGCGTACAAATGACGTTGGACGGTTGCATATGTATCAGGTATGTGAGCTTATTTGCTTAAAAATATAACTCTCCATTATTTTTCATTGACATATATTATTTATTTTAATTGAATTATAATTGAAATCTGTATACAATACAAACACAAATTGGTTTTTAGGATGTTGATAAGTCTCATTTGCAAAAGAAAGTAGCAAAATATATTAAGACTCTTTCTTCTTTGCTGACATTTAAAAAATTCTATACACATAAAAATCAACTGACACAGGCTGTAGGAATAAAAATGTCCAACAACGTTGACACATTCACACTCACTTGCGTCGAATACAACATCTTTTAAAAAAGGTTCTTTATCACAGTGACACTTAAAATGAGGCTCTATATAGATATGTACATGAATAGCACTTTCCTCTCTGCAGCTTCTTTTTGCAACTCGTAAAATTCAAATGTCCACTTGCTGAAAAGGAGGCTCCTTAATCTGGGTCCTGCACTGATGGCAAACACGGAACTGCCCTTTCGCACAAGTGGAATTAACAATATTTCATGTGGTTGATTGATTCACAGTCGGGTAGATTTGTGAGTTGCTGTCTCACTTGAACGTCTGGTCACATCTTAAATCACGACTGAGTTACTTGCTCCATTATCCAGTCAACGAATTTGGATATCCTGGTGCAAACGCCGGGCAAGTTGTTCTCTGCACACCCGATGCCCCAGCTGATGATGCCGGCCAGGAAGTAGTGTCCGTCCTTACCCTTAACTTGAAGAGGACCACCAGAGTCACCCTGCATGAGCAAATTTTTTAGAATTAAAATAATTGATCATTTATATAAATTTTTTGTCAATAATTTAGTGGTGAATTAGATGCTACGAATCTTCCAATGTAATAATAGGTTTTCACCTCACAATATACAATATGCAGGGCACTCGTTTTCAATTAGTAATATTAAAAGATTTAATTTTTTTAAATTTGTAATTCATAGCATTAATCCATTTCAACAGAAGACGGTACAAAAATATTAAAATATTTTTATTTTAAATTTAATTAAAAGAAGTATATAAAATAAATACATTATATATGACTTATTTAATAAATTAAAAATATAAACACAATATACTTTAATTTTTTTTAATAATAAACTAATTATTTTGTGGTTTACTTTTTAAAAACTAGTTCTTATCCTGCAACCTGCCAAACTTCTAAGTCAAGCAAGTTGCATACGCATGTCATACCTGACAAGAGTCTCGGCCTCCATTCTCGTAGCCAGCGCAGAGGAAGATTTCTGGGATGTGCTCGTGTCTGCCGGCTCGCAGGAACATGGATTTGCACTTTTCATTGCTCACTATAGGCACAGAAACCTGAAAAATATTAATCAAAAAAATTAGAACTGCAATAATTTATCTAGAAAAATACGTAATAAAATAAGTTTAAAAAAGGCGTTGCTCTCATTTTTGTTTACCTCTTGCAAAACAGAGGGCAAAGTTCCTCCCTCGCTGAGTCTACCCCAGCCGGTGACAGTGGCCGTCTCACCAACCAGCAAGTCGTCTGACGCTGGCAGGCAAATAGGCGCTATGTGCGGCGCAAATTCAAGGGGCCTGTCGAGCTGCACCAAGGCCAAGTCATACTCATAAGTGAAAAAGTTGTACCTGGAAATTGAAATAATGTATTGATCTCTTAAAAACAAAAAAACAAATAATAAAAACTACTCACTTGGGATGGACAGCTTTCTTGATAACGCCGCGCTCCTCATGGGCAAACGGCTCTCCGGACGACGAAAAGTCGTACTCGCCGACTCGGATTCTAATCTGCGACGTCAGCAGACTGCAATCACAGACAATTTGTTGGTCGTTAATTTTGGCCGGCAAAACAATCACTTTCTTATTTCTAGTTTATTGGGACGCATCAGGGAAATAAAGGCCATTGTTCGCCGCTGATTTTATCGCTATTGTTCTTTGCGCCCGGGCGACGAGCGGAACGAGTGGTACGGCGGCCACCCAGACAAATAAATTTGCGAGACAATTAGGAAAGTGTTCATACTCATCCACGCAATGGCCCGCAGTGGCGATCCAGTTTTCGTTGATCACCGCACCGCCGCACCTGTGCGTGCTCGAAAAGCCGAAAAAGGACGTCCTCCGAACCGAGACCTGCGAAAATAAAGACCGGTTTCATTTTGTCCTATCAATTTTGGCCTGTTTTTGACGTTACCTGCCAGGGCCAACGGCCGAAATCGGACGACTTGCCACCTACGATCCGCATTTCTGGCCGAGGAGGAATTAATGGAGGTACACCACACTCTAAAAATAATACAACATATTAAAAATCTTCAAAAATATAATTTGTAAATAACAATTACTAAATAAATAAAAATTTTAAAATAACTATAAGAAAGTTCAAAGGAAATTATGAAAATCGGGGGCCCATAATGTGTCCGAAATAATTTTGTTCGAATCCGGAAAAAGAAAGTGTCCGAAAATAATGTGTCCGAAGATTTTTTGTCCGAATTTTTTCAAAATTTTCTCCGAAAATATTTGATCCGATTTTATTATATCCGAAAATGGTCTATCCGACATTAAACTGTCCGAAATTGAGTAGTATGGCAATATATACTATCGAGGCGTTTAAAATTTTAATTACAAAATTAAGCGACTTTAGTGAACTGAACACGAAATTCTTTTCCGCGTTTATACCTTTTCTAGGCCGAGCCGGTGCTTTTGTAGTGTTCAGCTTGTTAGTTGTGGTGGTTAACAAGACCGTCGTCGACGGCGGCTGTGTCTGGGTGGTGGACACAAATGAGGAGGACTGAATTGCCGGTCTTGTTGGCCGAACTACTGGTCTTGTGGTGGTTGTCGTCGTAGTGGTTGTAGTTGTCGTGGTCGTTGTTGTTGAGGTTGTGGTTGATGGAGGGATTTTAGTTGTTAAGGCTGTGGTGGGCTTGAAAGGCTTTTTGGTCCCGTACGGTTGGGGCTTCAGGGAGTTCAGGGGCCTCTGTCCAAAGATGGAACCTAAAATAATTAACATATTTATTAAATTTTATCACTCGTTTTATATTTCATTTCAGAATTAATCTATAATTTTGCGTTTTTTTTTTAAACTAATTTGTGGTAGAATTTCTTGATCGACGGTTGATTCACGGTGATTTGAATGTTAAGTCGGCTTTTCCTTTATGGATTTTTGTGAGTGGTTCATTGTTTAAGGAAAAACAATATCCTAAAATATATTATATTTGTACCTTGAATTAGGTCTGGAGGTCTTGGCCGAAAAGGCGCCGACCACGTGGATGGCTTAGGTCTCGTGACGAAAGCTGGCTGTGTTGGCTCGGGCAAGCTGGTGATGCTGAAGGTGTTAACTTTGTCTTTTGTGGTGGTCGAGTACGAAGGGTACTTGGTGGTAAGAGGAGCGTAAATTTTGTCATCCGCCGGCGAGTAGTCGACAATTAAATTTTCGCTGTTGATGTCTGCTGGGAATCGGGTGACAGGGGTCGGTGTAGTTGTGGTGGAGTACTTGGTGAACGATGGCCTCTTGGTGCCAGGCCGCGAACTGCAACAATAGAAAAAACTAAAATAGAAAAAAAAATACAATTTGTTTAAGAAGGAGGAAAGAAAGCAGGTTCTCACAGGAGTATCACATTGAAATTCTTGACGTTACAAATTGTGTGACACAAAAGCGAGCAAAAATGGCAAGATTTCAAAACCGTCGGCCTCGGCAGAGATCTTATCAAAAACGAGATCAGGTTCATGAAAAGCAGTTGACATTTGGCCAGCCCCGAGTTCAACTCGTGTCCGTTTAATTTTTCCCGTGCCGAGACCGCCTTGTGGAATAATAAAGTGCAATCAAATAATGCGGTGCAGAGGATGAAGAGAGGTGTTTTGACGAGATTGGCTCATTCTTGCGCGTGTAATTAGGATCGCGCCGAAGTGACATACTTCTTTTTTCATTCGGCCGTAAGTAAGCGATGATGAAAACATGATTGATATGTTCCAATAATACGTTTGTAACGGCTCCTACAAAAGATCTCGCGTCTCCCATTCTGAAATCTAGCAACTTTCACATGCCACTGGGCTTTTGTGTGTTTTTTGTCCAACATATTACAGCGCGCGCGCGTGTATGATTATTATTTCATCCTCCTCAAATATGTGAACCTAATGAAACTGATCCCAGGACGCTTCCTATAAAAAAATCCCCATCTGTATAATCGTTATCAATCAGCCTTGTTTGTACACATTTTCTCTCAATCAAGATTTCAAGACAAAGTGCGCCGGCATTAATTAATCTAACTGCAACCTAAATAATTTTAAATTAAAAAAAAAGATTGTAATTTTTTAATATTTATTTCATACTTATTATTATTTATTTAATATTAATAAATAATCGATAATAATAATAACCGAAAAAGAAAGAAACCCCAGAAATTTGGAAAAAAATATTACAGAATTCAATGTTTTCTTGCTGCACTGGCGCTGCCTTTTTTAAACGTGCTCTTTTAACTAATTATTAAGTAAAATGGTTTTATATAAGTTAATTAAGCGTGCTTCAATTTTTAAAGCTTTTTTTTGTTATGAAAAAATCTATCTGACTTGCCGGTTTTTGTTGCTATGATTTGAATAAATAGAGCAAGTTAATAAGAAATTCGTAATAGCTGCAGTTGGAGGTAAAAAGCAAATGAAGCGGCTTGCGGTGAAGCAATTTTCCGCCATTATCAGCATAATTTCAGCTGTGGAGCGGACAATGAATGTAAGTAATACAAAAGCGGCGTCCGAGAGCAAACAAGCAGGCTGTGTCGTTAAATAACTGTTTCAATTTCAATACGGATAAAATCAACCTGCGCCGTCGGCGCCTCCGATTTCCTCAGACGAGAGAGACAAATTGCACATCTCATTCTGTTCCATCTTTCTTTCGTATGCGAGATAAACAGCCGCAGTTTGATTAGCAAATCACGAATCGTCTGTCGACACATACAAAACACCCGCTGCTATTTATTTCATTATTTATTATTCCTCGCCTTTCAATCCGTCAAATGCAAATGCGCGCCTCTTCTCGCGATTCTCTCCGGCTTGTTGCGCCCATTGTGAGCAAAATATAATACTACTTGCAAAAAGAAACCGCTCGCTGTAATTTCAATCAAACCATCTGCTTTTTGCTGCAACACGGCGCAGTTGTTTACTTTTGCGGATGCTGAAAATCTCTGCTTGAAAATTAAAAGAAAACATTTTCAAGTAGCTTTTCCTTGTTATGCAAAAAATTTTCAAGGAATTGGGTGGATCATGATTTTATATGGTTGGAGTAAAAGATTTAAATTCTTTAATAGTTATTATTGTTAAATTCGCGGAAAAACGAAATACACAAAGAAATTGCGAAATACCGCGTACATTTGAGACGATCATTGATTGATACATACTCAATAAATATAACTACATAAATTATATATAATAACATTCCTAAATAAATTTATAATTATCATAGTTAAATTTTTTTTAAATCAATTTAAATTTTAATTTAATTAAATAAATAGTGAATAAATAATAAATCAACTTAAATACACATTAAATAGCAAAAAAACTTTAAAAATATTTTAAATAATCTTAAATTTAATATACAATTATTAAAGGAAATTATTTATTTTATTTTTGTAATTTTTAAGCGCATTTTTTAATTTTTTTTATAAATATAATAAAGTGAAAACAGGAAACAAAATAAATGATTTTATCATTAAAAATAATTTACTTTTAAAATTAATTAACAGTTATGGTAGGGAGAAGAATGTAACTTACTACTGGGGCCTGTTTGAGCTGAGGTAGGCACTGACCGCCTCCGAGCCTGCGATTTGGGGCTCGGAGGCCACCGTTGGCACTGTTGAGTTGGGCGGAAGTTGGCAGCAAGAACCAAACATGAAGGCGTCCATGCACATGCCCAGGTGCTTGCCTTGGTGGTGGATGCACTGCCACACGAACATGCACACGCCGGGCACATTGTTCACCGTGCACGCCTTTGGAGTAATTTGAAACGCTGCAACAATAATTAGCAAATATTATAATTTCTGCACGGGCAAAAAAATAAGGTAGCAGGAAAGAGGTGGAAATTTTCCATTGAATTCCATCGGATTTCAGGTCCATGAACAGTTTGATTGAATTTATCCCTGCATCGACTGTAATTGACGCCGCATCTGCCGCCGGCTGCAAATACACCGGTGATCGAGATGTTCCGCCGTGGCAGATTTTCCCAGAGCACACTGACTGACTGGGCCAATAATGTGACTGCGCTTCTAGGAAGCTGCGTTGACGGAAAATTGGCAGCGCGATTAATCTCTGCTGCCCAAAATAACAGCCGTAGTTATTTTGTGCCAATTATTTTCGGTTCATCGGCTAGGATGAAGTTTTCTTAGAATTTTTGAAATAATTGGAACATAAAGGCACTAATATAATTAATTTTTATTATTAATCATTCAAGAACTAATTTTGATCTCATTTTATAAAAGTCTTCTCTTTATTATTAAAACGGATATATTTTATGTTTACAGGCAAAATTTCCTCACACACATGATTATGCTCGGAAGTTCAAAAAATTTATCGCCATTGTTTACCAAGTAAAAAGTGAATAATAGTTTTCACCAACGCGAGAACAGGTGTTGTCTATACGGTTGACCATTATTATTGTCTCCTCTCGAGAGCCGTGAACCGCGCGATTTTGCACACCTGCGAAGGGTGACACGGTGCTTAACTCCGCAGGCGTTTACGACCTCAGGTGACACCGCGAGTGGTACCTGGCCGTGACATTGTCTGGCAGGATAGAGACTTTTCACTTTTCTTCGAGGCTCGGCCATTCATGAAATTCGCTCTTCTTTTATCTACAGTTTGTCTTGTTTTTTAAAAGAGACTTTCTCAGATTTTAATGATACAAAAAATGCAATGAATAAACAGACTGCATTAATTTGGAATCCTAATTGATATTTTCCTGCTAATTGTGAGTGCACCAACCTGCTGTCGCTCTTTTTTTAATTACAAATAAGAGTTTTTAATGGAGTCTTTGCGATCAAAGGAGGAAGGAGCGCCGCGGTTACAAACAAAGACCTAAAAGCCTCTCGCCACGCTCAGCGATCACATTGCTGCCGAACAATGCTCAAATTAATTTAATTGAACCTGTCCAGAATAATGACGCATTGTTACGTCTTTGAAGCAAAAGATTCACTTTTCCACCGATTTGACTTTCACTCGCCGTATTTGTTTTAAAACTTATAACTTTTGTTTTCTATGACACGCGTTTTTAGGAGCAAGACAACTGCTTAGATCTGCTTTTCGTGGCTTTACATTTTTATCGAGAAGCAATCAAATTGCCATAAAAGGTGGTTTGCTCGCCGTCATCGGCAACGCCAAATACAGTCATTTATTCTCGAGCTGGTATCTCACACTTGAATTATATTTTGCTGTCAGCATGTTCTTTGCACATATACTTGAATCATTTCGTACGTTTTATGGTTCAGAGTTATTGCGGTTCTGTGCTTCTTTTTTGAGATACCTGACAGATGCTCATTGCGCGACAGTAAAGTTATATACCAATTATTTTATGTGTATTTTTTTCCCGCCGTCTCTTTATAGGTTTCCTTTCCTCCGACTCGTTTTTCAGCCTCAAGGTATCTTCAACTAAAAACTTAAAAGCTTCAAATAGTTGCAAGCGTTTATTATTATTAATTTTTTTTTAATATTAATTCATGGTCAGTATTTTTGGTTTAAATTATTCAACTTTCAACGGATCAATAATATAATTTTAGTTAAACAAAATAACTTGTAGCAACACTTGTGATAAAAACAAAACTTGTCAACCGAGGCAGCGGAGGGTGTCTTTTTGATCTCGGAAGTTTTAGCAAAATTATTGCTAGTTAATGGTGCCGTTTTTGTCAAAAATACGTTTTTTCTCATAATATAACACAAATTTTTTTTAAAGTAAACAATATGATGCATCAATTGAACATAAAATCAAATAAATACATGGTAACCTAGAGAACCTTTAAAATTTTTATAAATATTCTGTACAATACAACAATCACATTTACTAATTTATTTATATATTTTAACAAAATATTTAAACCAAAGAAAATTGCTAACAATAATATAATTTGATAACAACTAATAAAATTACTAAAAATAATTTAAAATCAATATTAAAATATATTTTATAAACTAAAGTAATAATAAAAATTATGATGAAAATCATTTTTATCAGACTTATTAATTATTAAGTACAGTAAATTAAAAAATATTTCAAACATTTTACATGCAATCCATTTGCATTAATTTCCTTTAACTTTTGAAGAAAATATTATATTATTTGTTGAAATAAAATCCGGCTTCCTCGGGGGAGATGAGCAACTTTATTGTTTCTGCATGGTACAGAAAATCCCTGCTCTACTAGTTTCCGTTGCGGGTTGCAACCCTAATTCATGAGCTCTTTTCTCGTCGGAAGATGAAACGCAACTAGTAGAGCAGGGATTTTCTGTACCATGCAGAAACAATAAAGTTGCTCATTTCCACCGAGGAAGCCGGATTTTATTTCAACAAATATGACCACCTCGAGTGCCAAAAGGTTCCACAACAACTACTTCAAGAACCTATACAGAAAATTATATTTTTTGTTGAATCTTAATTACAAGCTTCTTTTTAATTTTTTTTTTTTTTACTATTTTTCACTGCCTTATGGTTTAGAATTTTAACCAGATTTATGTATACATTTTTCTAAAATTTTGATTGATTTTACAAAAATATAAAATTAAGGAGGAACTTGTTGGAAAGATCACATTTTTTAGGGGAAAAGTATTTCAGTAATGAAGTGCTATTAAATTGATAAAATGCGTTATAATTAATAATATCGCTGTTAGCTTCAATTCAAACACAGTGATGTGTAACGAGAATGATTAAACATTAATAAAGGCACAATTTAGTCCACGGCAATTTACTGCGATTCAATCTCGGCGCGCAGAAAGATTTGTAGCTCGGTGTTTTCATGCAATTCAGGTCGACTGATCGTTAATTGAGGGTTTCGTAGCACGTTGCGTGTTAATTATTTTACAAGCGATTAAAATCCACGCGCAAACTCTATAAAATGCTCGAAATTTACGCTTTTGCGGCGAAGAAACGTCACTAAAGGGAAAAGCAGCAAAAATCCGAAACATCCTTGAGGGTCGTTATATAAGCCGGTGCCTTTGAAGAGGTCGTCAAACTCCTGCACACACAAATAATCGGAAAATTTATGACTCGCTCGGGCGTTTGCGAACACACGAAAAGGAAAAACAAAATTAAACTCATTACAGGCGTGATTTACAACCTCACTTTCGAGAACGGAATCTCCTTTGGCGGGCGAATTACGAATTATCGGAGGTGCGAGAGAGAGAGAGCAGCATAATTTTAGGTCTTTGTCATGCAGACGCACGTGGAAAGGCTCGAGGGTGTGCAATAAACGTGAGGTGTAGCGTGGTAGCGGGATCTTCAATAAGCGATACCGACTGAGAAAATGGTGCTCCGCTTTGTGCCGATTATTTATCGGCGGCGCCCGAGAGAATGCAAAAAAAAAATAGCACCACACACGAAAGCCATATATACCGCAAATAACGCCACTTTGACAGATGATGGCCGTAAAGAAAGAAATTTATTCGCACTCAGGAATGTTCGGAACAAAACCATTGTGAAAATTATTTTCTTCTCAAAACCTTTCTTGCACTTCAAAGTGAATTATATATGTTTTAATTAAATAAAAAAAATGCACTTCCTCTCCTTTCTAGATAAGGATGAAAAATAAATAACTTGCATATTCAGAAATGCATTTTTTTTAAATTGCTAATAAAGTTATGCACTTTTATAGGAAGGTTATGAGGTCCGTAACGACCGCACTGGACGACGACATCGCATGTTTATTAATAAGGCGAAAATTCTCTCTTCTAATGAGCGACTCATCTCTCTGGGCAGACGCTCGATCTTTCTTTTTCTCTGCCCTGTCTCGTTCGCTGCATGCAGAGGTCGTTTCTCTCCAACTCATTTCGCAGAAGGCGACCCGGGAAAAAGAATATTTAAAATGTAAATAATGCTGTTTCGTTTGCTATTGTTGTCTTTGCATCGGAGCGAAAGAATTAAAAGAGCTGCTGCGTGTGCGATGCGTGTGTTCCTCTCCTCTAATTGCGCCGTCATTTGCATATCACCGCGCAAGTCTCTTGTCGCCAAACACAATGACCCACATGCATTTATCAATGGCGAAAAAATTCCTACCGCTAATTGCTTAAAAAAATAGTATGTCTTAAAGATCCACTCCGGTCGTTTTTATTGATCTTTATTCTGAAAGATTGCTAAATTTCGAGTATATCTTGTGAAAACACTATTTGAAAATTCCAAACCGTGGCGTCTCAATCAAAAGAAAACCTAAATACAAGTGATTCGCGCGAAAAACGTGTGAGAATTGAGTAGCCAATCAGATCCATTTGTTTGTTCCTAAAACTACAGAATTTGGTCACATTGGCGCTGCGATCGCTGATTTTGCCAAGTTTTCTGCATCGCTGTGGGGCATTAGTGGCAAAATCAGCGATCGCAGCGCCAATGTGACCAAATCCTTCAGTTTTTTGACAAAACTGATGGATCTGATTGGCTACTCAATTCTCACACGTTTTTCGCGTGAATCACTCGTATTTAGGTTTTCTTTTGATTGAGACGCAACGGTTTGGAATTTTCAAATAGTGTTTTCACAAGATATACTCGAAATTTAGCAATTTTTCAGAATAGAGAGCAATACGCTTGACCGGAGAGGATCTTTAACTATACTGATATTCCAGTAAAAATAACAGGGAAGTGAAAATCGAGAATTTAACAAAAATTTCCCACCAAATTATTTTCAAGCGTGAATAAGAAATATTCAAAATATTTGGATGAGAAATTCCGTGTCCTGTTGGGCAAGACCCTGTGAAATTCAATTGTCCGAGAACACGGAACTGATCTCATTGTCAGACGCCATGAGCATTAAACCGGCTTACAGATTTGCGAATGACAAATCAAATTAAGCCGGCAGAACCATTTGCGCATTTTCTCACGCCGCCTCCTCTGCACTACCTTACTTTTTTCTCATTTTTTACTCACCTTCACCTTGGCGACTTTTGGTCGGCGGCGTCCCTGACATGGCCGGAGCACACATTGCGATAAAAATCAGCAGCTTCAGCCATCTTGGAGCCATCGTCCAAATAACTGGAACAAAAAAATAAAATCAAAGCTTAGCGAGACTTTGAGTTCGCGCGGTGCGGATTAAGGGGAGCTTACAACATGGTTTGACGTGCACTTTTGAACTGCGCGAGAGAAAATGAAAACGACAAATCACCCTGAGTGCTGTTTAGACCGATTTTCCTTTATGATTCTTCTGAGAAAATTCCTATTCGTGCGTCGCTTTTTGCATTGTTGCGATTACAAGCCTTTTTAATACTTTCCGGCACGAAGCTAAATTATAATAATTTTCAAGCAAAAGTGCGCGGCCGACCGACAACCGACCATATTGGGAATTTAAATTTGTTTACATACCCAAACGCGAGCTATTATTTGTGCATGATGAAAATAAAAGTGAGAACCCTGAGCTGATCTTACTTTTAACCGGTAATTTGAGCGAGCCATCGTGGAATTTTTTGCACTCAAATTACTCCGTAATTATCTCGGGAGTAAAAAATTTCATTTTAGATCGTTGTAAAAAACCATGTTCGGCGGAAAAGTGGCGGAAAGAAAGAATGTGATCTTGTACCGTTTTCCACGTCGCCGCATCATTGTTACAAAACGGCGGCGGCGCCGGCTGCTGATGTAATTAATATCATCAGCAAAGAAAGGTTTTTGCTTCGGCAGGTCTTTTCCGAGTATTTTTCAAAACGCTCTCTTTCTTGCTGCAACCACGGCAATAATCATCACATTGCCCTGCTCGTCATTTGTGTGCCGCCATTACGGTGCCAACGACACATCATGCATCACAGTGAGAACGAAAGAAAAAAAAACACACATTTGATGTGTCGTATTATTTCCTCTTTCGGAGGGAAATCATTTATATATATGAATCGCAAACTCTTACTTGGCGCAGAGATTTTTTCACGCGACGGTCACACAGGTTGTCAGTTGAGATTTTTTGATACATTAATTTCAATAGGAATAAAAACGAGAGCGTATTGAACCTGATGAGAGAGCAGAGGCGACCACAAATATAACAAACACGCCAAGGCAAACTTTCTCACCGCTGGGCTGGAAATGATTAATCGAACTCCCAGCTGCGACCATGCGGTATTGTCAGGCAACACAGATCATTATGAGAGACGGAATTTGGATCACGACGGAAAGGTGCATTAATGTGTCCCATCTTCTCGCTCCAAATTTACCGGATTAATAAGTAGATCGCCTGAAATTTCGCAGATAGTTCGATGGAATATGAAAAGTGAAATGTCTTTATTCATAAATTTAGTTTAAATTTAATATTTATAATGAACAGTAAGACTTCAATCTCTGCTAGTCAATAAAGGAAAAAATATAAAATTTTGGTATAAATCAATACAAATCAATATAAATTTGAGCTTTTAATTAATTCGTAGCAGTTCCATGTTTCATGTTAATTAAGATTTTCAATTTTAGTTAGAATATTCAATCGTTAAATCATTTTGAAAACATTTTTGGCCAATAAGAAGGCAACAAAATTGAAAATTAAGAGCTGCAGGACACAGGTTGATTACGTTTTCAAAATAAAAAATAATTATAAAAATATTAAATTGAAAAAAAATGTATTTTAAATAAAAAAAAAAAACTAAATAAGATTTCGTATAAACAATTAAATATTTATGTATAAGTTTAAAATAATGTAAATATTAAAGAAATTAAATACTTTTATTTAATGTAAAATTTATGTAATTTTTAATACACAAATAAACACTCCAGGAGACAATTTTGAAGGTGAAGGATATGGGATTTGTTTTAGTTTAATTTTTTTTTTAATTTTCTTTTAAACCAATCAAAGAAAATAAAAAGTTAAATAGCTTTTAATAAATTTTATTGTTGAACTAAAGAATCTAAACAAGATTGTTAAAAATAAAATATCTTACTTACAATATTTCAAAAGAGCGTTCACCAAAGTTAAAAGGATTAACTGCCTATGCAGCGGGCAAATTACATTAGCCTGGCAAGAAGTGCGTTCGGCTCGCAGCCCCAACCGGTTCAACTTCCTATTTTAGCGCATTTCTCTCTTCCCTTTTTTCCTCGAGCGCGACGAGATGTTTTTATATCCACGAGCAAGCAAGTTAACCCATGCAAGTTTATGTCTCGGGACAAAGACAATTAGCGATAGCGGCGAACAATGCGGCTAATATTCCGCGTCTCTCTCTCTCTCTCTCTCTCTCTCTCTCTCTCTCTCTCTCTCTCTCTCTCTCTCTCTCTCTCTCTCTCTCTCTCTCTCTCTCTCTCTCTCTCTCTCTCTCTCTCTCTCTCTCTCTCTCTCTCTCTCTCTCGCGCGCGCACAGGTAAATCCCCTTTTGCGAACGAAAGATCTGCCGCGGAGATACGCGCAGAGATGAGATTCTTCCACGTTTGACGGAATTATTTGTAACCAATACCCCAGCGATTAACATCGCTCCACAAATTGAATTTTCCTGATCGGCGACCGCGCGTCGGATTCTCAGCATTTCTCAATTGATGAATCGAATTGCGAATGTTTTGGTTTAAGCTTGCATTTTATATTATTTTTCGACTCTGTTGATGTGAAGGAAGGATATCGAAATAAATTGATGCAAATAATTATATTGATTTATTTTATTTAAATATTAAAATTCGAAATTTGCTTGCGCAGATTTACTGCAATTTATCAATTTTAATTTATATTTGGGCAAAACTGCTGTAAAAATATGAAATCAAATGATTACATCATAAATAAATATAAATATCCAAAATTTTGGATAATATTTTTTTTTTTTTTTGAGAATATTAATATTTAAGCGACCAAAAACTGGATTCATTACGAGTCGATGGCTTTGCATTCGAGCCGCTAATTCAATTTCGAAGCAAACTAGCCATGCATGCTGGGAATCAGCTGACGAGCCAGATTTTTTGCTTGACGAGTTCTTTTTGTCTCGAGCCGGTGGTGGTTATTAACTTCATCAGGCTCAGCGTGCCGTGAACGGTATTTTAATTTCGCGTGCATGGAGCACCATATTATATTATTCGCCACATTCTCAATTATGCCGAATTTTGCTCTCTGGATTTCGCAGCGTGTGAGCTGGCGAGAGAAAATCATTAATTAAATGATAATCATGCGTTGGCAAGATGCGTGACTTTCGCCGATTTAATGCGGTGCTAACGAACGCTGAATTGGCAAGAAAAAAAAGAAAACCAACGATGAAAATGAAATCTGTCTATAATTATGTTATTGCTATCAAAATTGTGCTTGATAATGTTAGAAAATATGAGAGAGTTTTGTAAATATGTCCTAAAATTTATCATTTACCTCTGAAACGTAAATTATCTGCTAATTTGTGTCCGCAAAAAATAAATATTAATTATTTGCGCACTTTCAAACGTAGAATCTAGTTTTTCTTGCAAATATTTTTAATAAAAACGAAATTAATAATATTTTATCATTTTCTTTTCTCAAAGAAAGTCAGTATAACTTTTAAAGTGCTTAATTCTGAAATTTGATGCAATTAATTATACAAAAATGTGTGTTTTGTCTTATTAAGAATTGATAATCTAATTTCAATTTATCCTTTCTAGAAATAAATTTAAATTTATTTGTTCAATTTTTTTTTCTAAATAATTTAAAAGATTCATTTGTTGTGCAATTTCTTTTGAAAAGGACACTTTCCATAAGTAAACTTTTGCTGCCAATTGAAAGCAGCAAAACATGTTAAATCACTTGATCGTTTTCTTCTTCTTTCTCTATCACCAATCGACTTTCAATGAGATGCAAATCGGCGCCGGGCCTATAAATGGTGTTACCGGCCGACGACTCGAAATTCACGTCAGGGCAGATTTTTCTGCGCGTTTCCCGTCGGAGCGTGTCTTCTTCCTCGTTTCTGAAACGGTAAGCGAATGTTCATCCTCCACATACGATATTTATATGCAGTTACGGCCTGCAGCTTTTCGCAGGCGCACCACACTATAAAGCGAAATAAATAATGGCTAGACCAGATGGATATCGCACGCTAAGTAAGCACATAAGACAGACACGGTGCGCACACGGACTTAATTAAAATTACAAGCCGCCGCTTATCTGTCAATCAACCCTCGCAAAAACCTGCATCTCGTTATGACGAGGTGATTTATAATCATTTTTTTTATCCCTGCAAATCGGTTTGCCGATGGAATTTTAATGCATCTCGATTTTTCCAATCGATTGTTTTGTTTTCATCGCAAAAACATGGTGAATTATTCATCCACGCGGTTTATTGTTTGTGCTTGATAGCAATTAATTTTTATATGGAATCCTCGGATTTGAGATGCATGTTATGTACCGAGTACACGCGGTGCATGTAGAGGAGCCGCGGTGTGTGTAATAATCACCGCTCCGCCGGCGCCGTAATTGAGGAACAGTTAAAACAAGCGTGTTGGTCTGTGCGAGACGATTTTTATTGAGTTACCTTCTTCTAATTGTTCGCTCTGAGTGCGTCTGACGCCGGTTTTTGTTTTAACTTCCATGTAGAATTTAGAAGAAATGATGAGAAAAGAAACTCGTTTATTATTATTATTATTTTTTATAAACATATTATTTCGATGCGCCAAGATGGAAGCAAGATTTGATTTTTTTCCGTCTCAATGTAGCGCTTTTTTTCTTGCGAGCGCCCAATAAGGCTATGTTATAATTTAATGACGTTCTGAATGCGCTCATTTCGCGTTCCCGATCTCGCCGACGGTTGGGAAAAAACTTTGTGTTTACTTTTTGCCCGACAATAAGAAGAAACTCCGACGCAATGAGCTTTTTGTGGTCACTTGAATGAATTTAATCTACCTGCACAAACATATCTAAAAATAAAAAAAATATCGCATTGCTCACAATCAAGAATGAAAAACATTGGAAATTTCCCAGGTTTGTTCACAGCGCCACCGCACAGGAGTTAAGTTGCTAGCAAAATACTAAATGAATTCTTTATAATTTAAATATGAAATATGAATCAATCGTTAGTAAAAATAACCTTCGTTACAAAACCTCAGGACTTAAATGTTGAAATATAAACAATTAA